TTGTCCCTCAGTACTGTCTGTTTCGCCTTTCTCACAGCTGCACTGGGGCTAGGAAGTTCTTAGGCCCAAGGCTGAGCTGAGCCTCCCAACTGACCCTAAAATGTTAGGTAGACATTGTCCCAACAGCTTTCTTCATCTTGAAGGAGTGGATAAAACAAGGATTTGGATCCTTTGTTTCTTTAATTAATGAAGATGCAGTTAACACGTACTAAATTGAGACACTTGGAGGCACTGGGTCAGCTTGCTAATCCTACAGCATTCCCAGATTTTGGCGTTAGTCTTCTGCCAGCTTAGAGGGTTAAAAGATCTCCATTGGATTGGCCAAGAGTTGATATGTCATAGAGGGAAGTAGGAGAAGGAGGCAGCAGGGTGGGGGCAGGCTGGTTCCTGTTGGGAATCTCTGACTGCTGGAGTATTCTGGTATCAGGCACCATTCAAGCAGTTCTTTAAGAGTTTGTAACAATATTGGGTGAGAGAAAGACTGCAATCCACCATTCCATTTCAATTCCAGAATAGGCAGAGCATTCACAGGTTGTGTGGGCAATGAGTGCAAACCTAGCACCAAACATGGACTTGAAGTCATATCCCAGCTGTGCTCTTGCCATCTGTCAGGATTTTTGGGTGAACCTCGCTTTCCTTATTTCACTTTGCTTACATCTTAAATAATTGGAAAGAACTGATGTGAGATTTGCACTTCAGTCTCTGCTGTGCCATGTGTGCTTTGGGTTATTGTATCAGTGTCTCTGATACGCATTTAATTTTATACACAGTGGGACACCTCCAGGAAGATTAAGAACTAATCCTGAAGGAATAAAAAACCACATAAAACCCAATGGCATGTCTGATTGAGGAGGAGGTTTTAAGCCACTGATTGCATATGTGCACTGAAAGGTTTGGGTAAAGAAGGAGGCAGCTTCTGAGGTGCCCCTGGTGCAAGATATGAGGAAGGTCGGCAGTGACGTGTGAAGGGGACTTTGCATGAGCCACCTGGTATGTGCTGGTGGACCAGAGGACCTGGAGGCCATCATCAGCCTGATCTCTGTGGGTGCTTTAGGAGGAGGTTTAGTGGTGAATTTGGTAATGTTAGATTATGGCTGCTCTTGGTGATCTTAAGGGTCTTTTGCAACCTAAATGATTCTGTAATTCTATTGTTATGTCTCCCCAAAAATGTGGCTGAAGAACTTTTGACGAAGTGAATATCAGCTGTAACTTGCTACAAAAGAGGAATGGAAAGAGTAACTTGTTTATTGCCAAGCTTCAACTAAAAGCAAAAAAAAAACCCCTGAGAACTCTAGCTATGTAAAACATACTGATGCATGTCAGTATTTGCAGGTGAGTTATTGCCTTGCCTCACTAGTGAATGTCATTAGCTGCTACCCAAGCAAGTAGAAAATTATCCATGACTGTTTTTCAGGCAGTAGAACAGTAGAGTAGTGCATAAGCAAAAACCCACTATTCCATCAGCTGGGCATGCAGCCTTTTGGTCATAGAACCCACAATTTCACTTTCCCAAATTCCTAGCAGAAGCCAGGAGATGAAGTCCCTGAGGCTGGGTTTGTAAGCTTCTGTGGCATTCAGCACAAGTCTGGGAGCCATGTCCTTGCTCAAATCACTCTTCTCAGTGTGACAGCCCTTCTTTATGCAGTTGACGACCTGTGAACACATGTAGTTTTCCAGGTGCTTGCAGGATTGCACCAAAGCAGCACAGCTGCCACAGGCTGGCTTTGACAGCTGCTTTAGCCTGAACGTGGGAGCAGAACCACACCAATACTGCCAAAAATATTTGTGCAACCCTCCATTGACATCTTCAGTGAGGTCTTTGTGGTGCTCTGCTCATCTCTTCCCAAATAAGCCTTGGCTGATGATTAACTAGCAAGCAGCAAAAAGCGAATACAGAATATTAAATTGAGCATCTCAAATTGTATTTTAAGCATTAAAATATCCTGTAATGAAAAAATACGTATTGCATACTGAACCATTACTTGGATTACATGCCCAAGGTGAGATAACAGAAATCAACTTTCATCTCTGCTGAAGGGCAAATGCTTGTGCCTTTTCACTCAGATTTGAATAGCAGCCAAGTGGGGAATGACTGAAACAAGTGGCTTTAACAAGGAGAAATTATCCGATGTAAGCAAAGCCATCCTTTCGGCTGGGCACATTGCACTTCTCCCTGTTTGCTCTCCTCTGAGTAAGACCTAGAAGCAAAAGAGTGAGGGGAACTGGGCAGTGATACATGTCTGAGGCACAGTGTGCTGAAAGCTACTTTTGCAAATCTTGTTCAAATCTGCATCTGTTTGTTTGAGGTGATCGTTCCGAAAATCAAAATTACTCCCAGTAGACACCTTCATGGAAGGGACAGTCGAAGATTTGAAGTGAATCTGTCAATCAGTTTGAGTTTGGGGGGTCACAGTATGTTACAAAGAGCCTGTAAAAGCAATGCTCTTAAACAACAGTAGCCTCAAACAAATGCTGAATGGGTGAGATTGTTGCCTACAGTTATCCACTCACTGCAACTGGAGATTTTTCAATCTCACTTGAGCTGCAAGAGGATTTCTCAGCAAGCTCCTCTGAGAGCCAACTGCAAAAAAACATTGAAATGTGATAAGCATATAAGAGCATTAAAGGGTAGCATTCTCTATCACCCGCAGTCTCTGTTAGTTGTGCTTCTAGATGCTAGAGTGTACGTACAGCTGTTATGAGTTGTAAAATACATTTTGAAATGGGATTGATTCATCCATGTTTCATGAGATTGAATTAAGCAAAAGTATAAAGCCTTGTCTTTTCTCCAAGCATTTAATAAAAATATTCAGCCTCACTGGAACATAATAGAGATGTGCTTTCAGCACACAGATGTGCAGTAGTGAGAGCCACGTTTTATGTAAGCTGCTCATTCTTTTGTGTAGTGTTAAGAACTGAATGTACTTTCCTGCTCCATTTTTTGGCCTTGACATGAGCTAATGTCAAAGCAAATGAAGACCTGGTGGCAAATCCTATTCAGCAGTGCTAATGATTGTGGCCATTGCAGAGCTGTTCCTGGCTGTCTAATCATCTTTGGGAAATTGGGCTTTTGATAAGTAGACCTTCTATTCTGAATTTTTATTTCTTCAGCGAAATTCACTGGTGTGATTCAGTGTATGAAGGATCAGAAAAAGGTGTGTGGGTCACATACTGCAGAGTGTATTCAAAGCTGGTTTTATGGTGAGCTTCAGTAGGTAAAGTCATTAGGAGGATTTGAACAGAACTGCATAGGGAAAAATTTGTGTCAGCATCTCCTATCTATAAAAGTGCATTTTAGTACAAAACAGATTTATGACTGGGATATTTTTGCATGCAAGGCAGAACATGCAAAAGAGCAACTGCGCCTGATTTTATTTTTCTAGTTCCATTGCTTGTTTTATATTTAGGGTTTCATATTATGACTGCATAGATTTCACAGCTCCAAATGTGCCAAAACTCTTGTCTGATTAATTCAGATTGAATAATAAGCAAAATAATGTCTACTTTCTTCAACACCTGAGCACTCATTCCATTCCTTAGCAGAAATACATCTAGTTTTTTGCAAAAATAAGAGGTGCAGGTATGTTTTGACTTCGATTTTGTAAAGCAGAACCAGTTACATGGTAATTATTGGTCTAGATCTGAGTGGCAAGGATGTGTTGCACAGATTTCACTGGCAATCCATGTGGATCTGGGTGTTCTTCTGTTTTTAGTTCTTGGTAAAAATTGAGTGACCCATTTATATAATATAAATGGGTTATCACAGAGGTCGAGAAATATCCATGTCTTGAGCATGGTTTTCTTCCATTCCACCATACTCAGCTATCCCTGCTGTCAGCCCCACCCTGAGGGACAGATATCTTGTCCAACTTGTCATTCCTCTTCCAAGAAGCTGGTTTACGTCATAGAATCGTAGAATCGTAGAATCATTAAGGTTGGAAAAGACCTGTAAGATCATCAAGTCCAACCATCAGCCCATCCTTACCATGCTCACTAAACCATGTCCCTCTGTGCCACATCTACACATTTCTTGGACGCCTCCAGGAACAGTGACTCCACCACTTCCCTGGCTGCCTGTTCCAATGCTTACCAATGAAAGCTGTTTGAAAGTGGAAAGCTAGTCCAGAGCAAGCTGTGCCTGTGCTTCAGGGAGAAAATAAGACAAATTGATTCATCTCCACACTGCTTAGTGCTAGCCTTCTCGAGAGAAGATTTGTCTTGAAGAGAGATAACTGACGCAGTCCCAAATAGGCTTGGAAGTGGACTAAAATGAAAGAAGAGTGAGTGCTCTGGGTGCAGTGCTGGAAGCTGCTGCCTGTCATGGTCTTTATTTCATCTGGCTGCACAGGCATACCTGCAGCGAGCAGTTTATCCTTCCTGTGTTAACAGCCACAAGAGGAAAGCAGTGTAAGTGATCTATCCCACCTATTGTAGACAGCACTTCAAAGTGAAATGAATCACCCTTCAGAAGTAACTGTCTATTGACTGTGGAGGGATTCAATGTAATTGAGTTCAGATGGCTATAGCTAGGCAGGTGCATCCCACCTGTAGCATTAGACCTGTCCAAAGCTTTTCCTGGCTTCTTTGTGAGAAGTGTCAGAGGAGGGGAAAACCTCCTCTGGCAGGAGCATGTTCCCTGTCATTTCATTTCCACCTGGCTTCATCTTCACCTTTCCCCAGCAGTTTGTCCATAGGGGAGGATAGGATCCAGGGCCACAGGCCTGGCAAGCAGCTCTCCTTCCCTATGGAGGTGATTAAAACATAACTGTCCATGTTTCATGCACCAAGCAGCTGTGCAAACCGTGGAGACCTGTGGAGGCAGGTGAATTTCTTTGATGGGTTCTGTTTTCTGATGTCGTGAAAAAATACGTCTGAGTAATAACAATTATTTTAAGCAGGGAGCATCTATTACCAAATCTCTTTGCTATTTCCTTGTAATTAGAGAACTTCTAATGCAGAATAACAAAGTGTGAACTCTTCTCTTTTCTCTTTCTCCTCAGAAATCGAAGCAAAGGAAGCGTGTGACTGGTTACGTGCAGCTGGATTCCCCCAGTATGCTCAGTTCTATGAGAGTAAGTAAGTTTTGCTCCTGTTTGTGCAGAACTGAAAGCTCAATGGGTCCTTTCCAAGAGAGCTTGCAGTCAGCCAGCTCTGTGTTTGAGTGAGTTATTGGTATGGCTGCTTCACAAAGCATCATCTGCTGGAGTTGTATGAATGCCTAAAGAAAAGTAAGATTCCTGCCCTCAAGGCCATCAAAAAAAAAAAGGGGGGGGGAGACAGCTTGTGTAAACCTTGAAGGTTAACAGGAAAAAAAAAAAGGTACAAAAAATCCAAATACATACGCCTCTTATTTTTCTTTAATTATTATTCAAGACTTTTTAAGCCTTCAGAAATAAGATTACAAATAGTGAATGTTTTTGAAGATTTCAATCTTACTGAAAAAAAGAAGATTGAAAACTCTGCAGAGTTACCAGCAGTGAACTACTTGAGCTGTGTTCAAATTTCACCTCACTGTAAAGCAACAAGAAGACATACAGCAGGGCTAACCCGGTGCAAATGGCTGCGTCCCCTCCTGAGTGCTTCTGTGGTGGGTGGATGACACAGTTGTGATCAGGATGTGTCACCACAGGACAGGGCGAGTGTTTATACTGTTGCTGCACTTAGGAGTGGTTTAGGGAGTGGGACTGTTTCTTTTCTGCTCTCCGTAGCTCAAAGCTGACAGGGAAACTGCAGCTGATCCTCATTTTTTCCAAACTGCCTATTCTGCTCTTGCCAGAGACCAGGAGCCAGCTCAGGCCCACTCAGGCCTATTAGCCAAAGTGCAGCTTTGCCAAGCCCTGCTGGACACTGTCCAGGGTCAGCTTGGGTCTGGAGGCAGCACAGCTCCTTGCACAGAGCCAAGGAACCTCGTGGGTCAGAGCCAGCTCTGCAGGGCTGGAAGTGGTGGGGAGCGCGGTGCCGAGGACACCTTTGTGGCTCCTAACAGCCCTCTGAGGGCCTCGCAGGTGCACTGCACAGAGATGCTCAGACAGCTCAGCAGGAGCCAGGTGGGCTCTCTTAAATCCATCAAGGAAGTAGGTCTAATAAACCTGTCACCCAGAGGTGACATAGAAGTCCATCTACCTCGATCCCTCTGCCCAGCAGTACCTTTTGTTACAATCAGAGTACCTCACTTCCCCTCTCCCCCAGAGAAAGGAGAGTCCAGTGCCTGCTGAGTTCACAGGGATGTTCCATCCAAAATGCAACCCATGCTGGGCTCCCACAGTCCCTCTTAAAACCAGTATGCACTCTAGACAGGTGGCCTCTCTGAAAACAAGGTCATTTTTCCAGGCATCTATTATATAAATGTTAAGCACTAATGTCTGAAAATGCTGGCTGCAATCCCTGTGTCTCAGCTTCCCGCTGCGGTGCCTAAACATGGCAGGGCGACCTGGAGTGCAGCCATCGTGCTGGAGCCCATCCCACTGTTGTGGAGCCCACTAATGTATTGCAGCCATGTCACTTTTCATTACAAATGTCAGCTTCCAGAACACTAGTCTGTTTTTTTGGCTGGTATTGGGGGTTATAATTCAGTTCAGTTTTTCATCTCTGTTATGTGAGTAGCCCTTAGTATGAAATTGTTGTTGTTGGGAGTTGTATTAAAAACAAAAAGCTCAAAATGTTCCTGTTTCATGGGAAAAGTCTATCCAGCAATTCATTAAGTTGCTCTGATGGGGACGGAGAACCTTATTGCTCATGTTGGATAATGAAAGCATGTTGGTAGTTTTCTGATCTCATTTGTTTGTGGTAGGCACCAGCTAACAATTTAATATCTTATTAAAGCCAAAGTGAAATAATGTTACTGTCTCTGTGCACAGGATGCTCAGCAATGCATTTAAGAGAAAAAAATAATAAATTAACTGAAAGGGTCACTGATACTTCCCAGCTGGAAGGGAACCAGAGCTGAGTGAAGTCAGTCTTACTGTATTTCAGCAAGCAAGTACACGCAAAGCATTTTTGTTGTAGACAATTTATTTTAATTTAAATAGCAAGCAGTCATCTTAATATTGTGTCTCCTTTTATAGACTCCCAGTTTCCAATTGACATTGCTGCAGTAAAGAAAGATCATGATTTTCTTGAAAAGGACCTGGTAGAACCACTTTGCAGGTAAATAACACCTAAAGTTTCTTTTGTGTTAATTTAAAAACGTGAGCAGGTTTGTTGTTTTTAGCACAGTAGCCTAGCACAAGAGTCAGTCACAGAATTATTAAGGTTGGAGAAGACACAAGATTTGAGAAGGACCCAAATCCAGTGGATTTGAAACCCCTTCATTTTTAACAAAGAACCAACAGTAATATGAGGAAATTCCGAGTAAGTAAAGGAGTCATGTGTGAGTTGCACATGAACAACTCTGTGTCCAAGCACATCTGAAAAGATAGAATCTCATTGCACAGAATTCTGCAAGTACTTTCTCTGGCAGAAGTCATGACTTTCATGTTGTTGTGATTCCCTTGGTACTCTCCATTTGGCACCACCAACAGAATTAGAACCAGAACCCCAGCACTGTAGCGATTCATTGGTCTGCCCTTCCCAGAGGCTTGTGTTTGCTTTTTCTTGCTTTTTGTACTCTGCCTGTGATGAATATACTGTATTGCTTTGCGCCAGTACTGCCCCCCAGGACTTAAGAAGCAACAATTCTGTGGTAGTTCTGCAAAATCTCATTACGGAGACAATGTTTCCTCCTTCTTTCTCCTGTTCTCTTCTCAGGCTAGTTTCTTTTCCTCTCCACTTGAGTAAGGACAAAGGAGCATCTGGCCCCTAAGCAAACAGGCTTTATTACACGTTATGAAAACTTGCACAACTCTAGCATCAAAATATTGAGCAAAACTCTATTTGCTCTTCTGCAATTGTGGATAAAGTCATCAGAGAGTACACATACAGTGTTCCATGGCACACTGCTCTGTGCTTGCGGGCTTTAATGAGGATGTGACAGAGGAGTTCAGAAAGGATTTCCTTCAATGATAGGAAATAGGGCTGGAAGACAGTTAATCTAGCCCCTCTTTCCAGGCCAGGAGATGCTATCCTTCCTGGAGGATTTATGATATTCTTGTGCATACCTGTCAGAACGCTTTCCCAGAACTCCCTTGCTGCAAATTACTTCCCAATTTGTGTTTTACAGATATGGGGAACAGAATATTTGTTTTATCTCTGTAGTAACCTCAATGTTTAAGAAATCTGCAGGAAAAAAAAATCTGGATCCTTCAGTAATTGCTCTTAGGAATGCCTGTAACCTTGATTAATTGCTGTTCTGTATGACCTAATGGGAAGGATTTCTATACCCCTGCCTAAGAAACTTTCTTCCCACACATACATACATCCCACTGCTTTAATCTGGAACCCCATTGCTGTAGTCCAAGAATTGAGAAGTGGTAAGAGGTTGAAGTTTCTTCCACCTATTCTTTCCCACAAAATTGAAGCACCATCCAAAGTTGCAAGTATGATCTCAGTCCCTGTCCCATTGTCATGAGAGCAAACAGTGAGTGGCTTGTCATAGCTTTAGGACTCTCACCAGCCACTCTTTTCTGAAGTACTTAGCAATAGTGGCACTTCAGTTACGATCAAAAGCATCCAAGACCTATTCAGCTAAGTGGTAACAGCTCACCTTTTGCTCTTTCAGACTGTAGACTCACCTAATATACACCTAAATGATTACCCTAGATTTACATTTACGATGATTTCTTTTTGAGTAGAACACAAGCTAGAAATTTATGTTTGTTCTTTTTTCTTTCTTTTATTGAAATACAAGACTTTTAAATATACACTAGAGATGTACTACTAAAGACAGTACTTTATATTTGCCTAAACTAAATGATATTGCTAAGATCTGCAGTAAGTAAGTCTTTCCAAGTCTTCTGAAATTATTTTATTGAAAAATAAAGGTCTTAGTGACTATCTAGTAACTTCTGTAATAATTTTATTCAGAAGATAACATTCTTTGGATTTAATTTTTGTTGAGTGCTTTTAAACAGTTTGTAGTTTAGAAGGAAATGATACTATGTATATGAGCCAGGTATAAAGAGAAGCATTATATACAGCATGTATAGATGGGAGAGTCATGTTTTCAGTTTGCAGACTTTTAATTTGCAGTAATTCAGCAGCACTAAACCTTTAGCTGAGAGTGACCGACCCATAAAAAGCAGTTGTGCCAAATGTCAAGTTTCTGCTTCACCAGAAAGAGTAAACAGTGTCAGCCTCTCCCCCTGCTACAAGCTGTGTTACTGTATTAGTAACCAAACCAATATCTTCCAAGTTTTCCAGCACACCATAACTCCTCACAGCTCAGCTGACCACAGTGTTCTACCCTTGCTTTGTTCTGTGGTGATATTAGCACAAGGTGAATGCCAATATATCCATCATTCAAGAGCAGTGGACTGTGACATGCTTTTCTGAAACAGAAAGCTAAGAAAAGGTTGGTTGTTATTTCTGTGGATACAGATTACCAGGTTGGGTGCCAAACTTCTATTCTTCTTACACCCAAAACTCCCACTGCCTTCAAAGCAGTGCATGGCCAAGCCTTTGCATTGGCTAATAGTTCATTCAGGGCATGCTAGTAAACAAAGAAGGGTACTTGTTTTTATTGAGAGGATAATTTTAAACACTGAATTTTGCTGCTCTTCTGGATTGAAATCAAGTTCTTCACCTCATTATAATCAGTTTTCTATGACATTCAATATACAAGACAGTAAGAGGCACAAATACCGAGAAACATTTTTTACAGCAGCTGGTAGTACTTTAGTCAGAAAGCCTGTAACTCCCTGCTGCAAAAGATTTCTGTGACCTTTTTGAGATATTCTAACACTCCTGCTGTTTACAATATCATTTGAAAATTTGGCAGAGCAAAGCCCAAATTGGAGGCTTTTGGGTTAGAGGCGTATCTTTTTTGCTATCAAGAGATTCCATTCAGATTTTATTGAGTAACGAACAATAGAAAATTGCCATGCAATCTGCAGGCAAGCACTGTCAACCCGCCAAAATAATAATTGGGCATGAAAATTTTATAGCTGGATCTTTGTCATTTCCAAAATAGCAGCAACAAACTCTGCTCTGGGAACTTTTTTGGCCTCTGTGATAAGAGGGTGAGAAGGAAAAGCCAAACCATGTTGTACGTTTTGTATTCAGGTAAATACAGTGACTGGGAATATAAAGAAAAGTATGAAATACAGGTTTGATACGAGGGCCCTAAAGAAGGCTGTTTAAATTTGAACTGTGCCAAACAGCCAGCAGCCTCCTTTTCCATAGTCCGTGTCTCTTTGATTGTTAGCAATCCAGAAGTCACTGTATATGGGATAGCATACTATTAGAATTTGAAATGGTGATGTATAGTTAGCAGTTAAAATTGAGTTAAAATTGCTGTGAGTCCTGTTAGGAAGTAAGCCAGGCTCTCCAGATACACCATGGAAAGTCCTGCTTTAATTTTAGTAGAATTTCCTAAATTCCGTCATACCAGAAGAAGCAAGCTAAGGGGCATTTGTATGCAGCACCTAAACATGGCTAGGAATAATAATAAAACAAAGAAACAGTCTAGGATTATTTCCCTCAGAGAGGAGTTTATAGAACTATAAAATGTGTTTGCTTGGTCATGATCCATAACAAAGGACATTTGCAGAGGTAGGAGATGCTGCAGCCAAGGTTGCTGTCCATACCAGCCCTCCCCACCCCACTGGATGTGGTACCCTGTGCTGCCTTCCTCACCGGCATGTCGCACGCAGCTGCTGAACAGGAATTCATGGAGCTCCAAATTGCTTCAAAACTGACTTTCTATTATCTAGATGGCTTTTCAACCAGGGCAACACTTTACCCATGAGGTTTTCCAGATAATCTTTGCTACAAGATTGTATTTATTTGTAAGCGCTGCTTAGTGCTGTACAGTATGCAAAATGCAGACATTTTCTTCAGCTGATCAACTTCCATCAGGTGGGTTAAGTACAGCACTGGGAGTGGGATTCAGAGCCTTAAATACCTGTGTCTACTCCACTTCAGATCTGCCAAGATAACTTAGACTTCTCCATGGACTGGCTTGACCAAGAGCACCTGCAGCACCTGAAGGCCAGGCTTGATAATTCTGGGGATCTAAAATAGCATTAGACTGTTTTTTGGGCACCTGAATAATTCCTTGTATGTTCAAGCATTGTATCAAGGAACACTTTTCAATGTAGGGATGATGTTTCACCATAGTGTTCACCTGTGGTAACCTGAAGAAGAAATAATATTAGTGGGAAAGTACTTACTATAGTGAATGTTTTCCGAGCTTTTTTTTGAACGTTGAAGAGCTCTCCAAACAAGTATTCAAATGCATCCTATTTGATTTGTTTTCTGTAGAGTCACCTCTCCTGTGTTTATTTAATGTGATATTTATGCCTTTTCTCAGTCCAGATTTTGTGTTTTGTTAGCAGGCATCCTTTTCCCATCTAGTGCCTCTCTCGCTTCGGCTGGGACATTAATAGCAGCCCTTTTTAGCTAGAGACTTCTATTTTTTTGTTTTTAGAAAGATTTGTTGAGGACTTGGCTGACAATCATCTAACAACTTTAAGCAGATCAGAAAAGCTTTCTACCACAGCTGGCACGTAACAGTGCATAAGAAGTTGGAACAGACTCGCTTTGATTGGAGTTGTTAGTAACAGGCAAGCTAACAAATCTGATCATTAGTTTTCTAATTTCACTGGCAAATCTTTCCATGGTATTGGAGGAGCCCCAGGCAGCATGCCATTGTTTTGTAGATGTGTAAATTTAAAACCTAACATCGAGCCCTTGGCTCCCATTAAGAAGTAGTTTTAGTTTTGATGGAGTGAGCTCCTTGTAAAAAAGCCAGATTAGAAAATGGCCAGGACAGTGCTGTAGCTTTCTAAGAGTCCAGTTTGAGCAATAATACTGGCTTGGATAGAGCTGACCTGTCAATTCTTTGCTGAGACTAATGCAGTTAATAGGAAGGCAGTTGCTTTGGATGGTTTTGTTTTTTCAACCATGAGCTTTCTGCACCTTACTGTGCTTAAGAAGAAACCCTTTCGTACAGAAATACCGCAACACTTTCTGCGAAGTGTTAAGCTGCTGGCCGTCACTTTCTTCTCACTTTGCTCCTAAAATGCATTGCGTGCTCTGGTGGTTTTAGATGGAAACAGCATCATACTGAGTGAAAGAAGTGTTGGCTCCCACATGTGAAGTGTTTTCTTCTGCGTCTTCCAGAGAAGTGGTGAATGCCTCATCCCTGGATTCATTCAAGGTCAGGCTGGACTGCTCTGAGCAACCTGATGTAGTTGTGGGTGACCTGTTCATTGCAGGGAAGTTGGACCACATGGCCTTCAAGGGTCACTTCCAACTCAAATGATTCTGTGACAGAAACACTATGATAGGATTTCCCAGTTTGTGGTCTGGCTGCACTCTGGCTGATGCTCAGTCAGACAAGGTCCAGCAGACCCTGGTCTTCATCCCCAGTCTGTCTGACAGAGGAAAGAAACCCAACCCATAAGACCTAGGTGGAATCTCAGGACATTCCCAGGTCTCGCTCATACTGACAGGGAACACAGACTGAGGGCATTGCAGTGTTCAAGTGAATCCAGGTGCCGCTGTAGAGATTTGTAGTGGTGCTTCTTGCAGTCCAGATGGGCTTATCCCATGTAAAGTCACTGCAGCAATTTGATTCAGATGTGTGGCCAGGTTTGATGTCCAGGCAGCGCATCAAACTTTTCTCTTCCAGCACAGGGCAGTTAATGCAGAGGCATGGGGACTGAGGTCTGAGCTTCTGGTTTACCTCACAGAGGAAGCTGGCTCCACAAATAGAATGTAGGGTTGGAGTCCTTTGAATGTGTGTCTGTGTCTGTGTGTATTTGGAGTTGATATCAATACACAAATTTATCAAAACAAGCACAGAACATTGCTCAGCTGGAGCCAGAGAAAATGCAACTTTCTGTTGTGAAATTCCATGTTTGGGCAAAAGATGAGTTTTGCAATTACAGATGTAACCCCTGAGGAGGAGTGTCTGTGGGCAAAAGGCTGAAGATAGTGTTACAAAGCCACAGCCTGCGATTTATTACAAGAACATGACTACCATGCATGTGGGGCATGCTTGTGCATTCATTATACTCACATTAATGTGATGAGCATAGGGCTTTTCTGATATGGCGTCAGGGTTTTATTGGCCTGAGGAGGAGCATTTTATCTACAGATGAGCAGGTGGTACTTTGCAAGGGAATTTTTTTCTGGAACGTCTGCATTTGTTTAGCCAGTTCTTTACAAGCAGTGGCAGTTTGAAAGGGTTTTTAATATTACAATGCCAGGGAAGAGGATGCTAATGCCATAATGCTCTAGTGCTGAATGAGAGATTGTATCACTGATGTGATTTTTTTTTCACATGTCCTTGTAACTTATCACACATATTTCAAATGCTATCAGTTCTGGAGATTTGCAGCCTCTTCCTGGGCTGCAGAAACAAGGGGCAGCTGTTGCTGCAAAGAGTTAGGAGATAGCAGCAGCCCACTGAAGTGTTTTGAGGGCACATGCCTCTCTCACTCTGCTCATATTTCAGGCCTAAATGAGGAAAATGTTTACAATTTTATCTATTTAACACTGAGCACTCTGAGCCTCTGTTTTAAAAAGTAGATGATTTCATGAATTGGGACATTTGAGTCTAAATAAAAATGAAATTATGCTTAGCATAGTAGGTTCACTACTGAAAGAGCATGTTTTCTGGTGCTCTGTCTCTACACATGAATACACACTAACACATATTCACTTCCCATCATTATTAGATTGTCATTTCAACCCATTATTTTCCTGGAATAGCCATGGATTTAAAAAGCAGAAGTCTTGCAGAGATTCTGGTAACATCGTTACAAACAAATCATGGTCAGAAATAACAAGAAATGCTTAAAGACGTTAAATCTGTTTCCTTTGATGTGTGCTAACCTTTCTGTAAGACCCGTATGTTTAGGGAAGGGACTATCAGCTGCGAAAGAAATATTTAATTGCTAAAAGTTCTTTGTGTCTTTTTAAAAGCTGTACTAACTACAAAAGTGAGGAACTGAATCCGAAACTGACTTTTTGTTTTGTCTTTCACAAGTGCTTTGAAATCTTCAAATCTCCGAATATTTACATATGTAATTGTTTTAGACCAGGTATGTTATGTTCCTACAGAAAGCAATTTACCTTCCTATCTTCTTGTCATTTTGCCACACATTAGAGGTGTTTTATTCATGCCAGTTTCCTTTGTCAAGTGCTTAAGTGTCTATGAATTAAAAAGCAATATAGGAAAACTGACTATCAAGGAATGTAAAGCTAAGACGCCCTTTCAACGCAGTGGTTTCATAGCTTGGAATAATATGAACAGTATCGTTTTCTGAAGCCTGTTGTATGCAGTTAGCACTTTACAGGCAGATAAGAGAAAAGCTTTTGAACTTATGAAAAGTCATGCCCTTTAGTCCGAGGCAGCTAATCTCTTGAATTTGCTTTCCTCTGTAGACGACTGAACACACTGAACAAGTGCGCCTCAATGAAACTCGATGTGAACTTCCAAAGAAAAAAGGTAAGGCAACTTCACGAAATGTACTGGCTTTGCCTGGGCTTTCATGATAACAGCTCCCAAATTAGGTTTTTTGGTAAGCTCTTAAAAGTTAAGCGTATTTAACTCTGAACATGTGAGTCAGAAATATCTGAGTAGAACAGTTTGCTGAATCTTGAAAATACAAACAAAAAATGAAAAACTGAGATGAATACAGTGGGAACAATACCACGTTGTGTTAGAAGGGCACATGCAATACTTAAAACTTCATGTATCTGCGATTCAAGTTAGCGGGTGAAAAAATTGTACGTTATACATTACTGACTTGTTTGCCAGTGCCACGTGAGTACACAATGGAAAATGCTGCCATGGAAAAAAAGGAAGCTCCTTGAACACAAACAATAGCTTTTCTTTATTTCTTGTACCAACTTATTCCTAGTTAAGAATATGAAAAGAAATCCTGTCTTCTTTAGAAACTTCTGTGTAACAATGGAATTAGTTGAGCTTAAAGGGTTTCAGTTAGGAATGCAGGAGCTGCCTATTGATTTTGAGTATTTTGTAACATGTGTTAACTCTTGAACGTTTGGTTTTCCAGTCAAAAATTCCCCCAGGCACATCATTAGTGTACAAAGATGGGAACTGGCGCTGAGAAGTCTTGTACTATTTGTCTTTCTTAGGCTATTTGTCTAATTATTTTTGAAGACTGCCTCCAAGAGCTGCATTTTTTGTATTTTTGCAAATTTAATCTGTTCATACTCAGTTTATTGTTTGAGGGATATTGTACAAAGAATGGGTTCACTTCTTAGATATTCTGCCATCTGCTTTTGCCCATTTGTTCCCCTGTTCGTGTAGCCTACTTAGCATGCATTTTGTCCATTCACAAAGCCACTGGGATTCCGTCTTTTCACTGCCTCAGTGCTGATGGATTTTTCTTGTCTTTGCTAAATGCCAACACTTCCCACACAAAACACTCACCTCACACCTACATGACAAACAGTAAACTCTCTTGGCTGTGGGATCAGTTTATGGTTTGGGCAGCAAAAGGTTTTGGGACAGATAGGTAATACAGCAAGAAGTTGAGGTTGATCAGCAAAAGCCAACTCAAATCAATTCAAGTTGACCTGCTTGGAGCAGTTTCAGATCTGTATGCATACGCACACGTACTTGTGTTCAAGCAAAGATATCGGAGCTGACAGAATTACAGAAAGCAGCATATAGGTGAATGCCAATTGTCCTATGGAAATTTTGTTTGGATGTTATTTCCTATCTTTCTTTTGGCTTTGCTGTGAAGTTTGTATGCTTGCTTGCTTGCTTTAATATGTGTCTGTGTAAAAATGGAGGAATTTTGTTATTACCATTTTTCTTAAATTTTGCTGCCACTTCTTCCTCTTCTGAATGGATTGAAACTCTCAGCTGCTCTCCTGGCAGATGACCATTATTTTGCTGTGGACATGAGGCTGCCCTGCCTGGTACCATTTCAATGTATCAGCTAGGTCAGTCTTTAAATGCACAGTGCCAGGGAGAAGCAGAGCATAGATGCCTGTGGAGAAAGAGGGGACAAAAGAGATTTGGGATGGTCGATAATGATCAAGTGAAAGTAGGAGAGAATGTAGGGGAAAGGAGATAAAGGAGGAAGGACTGCTGACAAAAGAAAATATAAATGCAAGTGTAAAAGCTGAAAGTTGGGTCTGGAATTAAAGATTGAATCAAGTAAACTTTTTTTGTTTTTGTAGTAGCAACTGCCTTTCTTTATAGTCTTTATGGTGACCTGAACAACGAAATGCAAAATCAGCTTGCTTTGGAGGTTCAGCATAACAGGTTTGCACAGGAATAGAGCAGCTGCTTGAGCAATCCACCCAAGTACAGCCAAGCAAGCTGCCAGAGGAGGTGACTGTGGAAGCCAGTGAGGGTGAGCATTCCCCACCACCTGCTTCATGCTAGAAGGTGCACTCATGCCTCGGGCTGCTCTCTTCCTGTTGGCTTCATCAATATGCACGTAGAAACCCTCGTATATGTGTTGCAAGTATGTCTGTAAGCGATTTGGACAGGCAGAGATTAGCTTTTGGATTAACTGCCTTCTGCAGCTGTCAATTTATGAGAATTCCTGCCCCCAGCTGGAAAAATGTGGCAAAAATCCACTGCAAATAAACCTACTTTTTGCCTTTTGTTAGCATCCCTCTGTATCTGAGGAAAGTACACTCTCAGTCAAACACCCGTACCATTTTAAATCAGCTGTGACAAATCCGTGAGCCAAAAACTCTTTCTCTTTGGCAAATGTTATCAGTCTCTGCTCAAGAAATTTGCCCCTTCTCGTCTTCCCAAGCATAGTGGTATTAAATTGGCTTTTGAATGTGCTCCAAAGCTGTGCACTTGATTTTGACCTAGGTCAGAAGAAATACACACTCAGTGCTGCAAGATCTGTGCTCCTCCATGTGAAATGAATCGTGCCTTTCAGACTGTCCCCGTAGCTGGTGACACGTCAGCTGGCAAAGTGCTCCCCGCATTTTTGGGGGACTGTCTCATTTGTCAGGGCGCTCTGATGTATAACAAGAACACTGGGTCATTCAGGATGTTTGTGGGTTCCAGAATTTCTACTAATTCCATCCGAAGAAAAAGCACATTATGTCACAGGACACACAGTGCAGCCGAATTTGGAGTGAGTCACCATGGTAGCATTTCAGTATCCAGATAATTCGTTTGATTTTTCTTCTGATGGAGCACAACCATGTTTCATTACCAATTCAAGCACTACATTAAATCTTTTCTTTTTTCTTCTCAACACCAAACATCCTCTATATTTTCTGACTGGTTCTTGGGCAGAATGTAATCCTCTTTTTGTTGTGGTTAGTTGCAAAACTTGTTTACTGCCAATATCCATTTGGACTCATCTCTATATATATATAAAAAAAAAACAAACAAACTTATTTTCCTCTAAAAATTATTTAAAGTACATTCACCACCAAATTTATATTTATTTCTGTCTTCTCCTGCTCTATGCACTCCTCTTGTTTTTCACAATGCCTCCACCATTTGGGCTAGTTTAATCAACTCCAGCTTGTAAAAAAATACAGGCTGAGCCCTGTGAGGTCATGCAGTAATGTCAGAGCAGCTACAGGGATTTGTGTCAGCCAAGAATCTTCTTTAAGGTCCCTTTTGTTTATTGGGATGTATAATAAATAAAAATATATCTTTTTATTCCATCGATTAGTGCCATCGACACTTCAGCAGCGATGTGCTTTGTAGATATAATCACCACTAAATATTTTCAAGTATGTACCCCTGTGGTTTCTAAAATATCCACTTTGTGGCACTATGAAGGCCACAATAGATGGATTTTTAAGTGCCTCAGTCTGTGCAGTCAACCAGTCTGTATATGCTTAGAGCAAACTGCCAAGCTGAAATGAAGGTAGAACTGGCTGATACTCCATTTCTTCCCCACAGACAAAACAGCCGAAGTAGCATTAGCCTTCTCTAGTCCCTTTCCTGCTGCATCACTTGCTGCTTAATTTTTCTCTCTAGCTAGCAGCAGAACTAAAATATCCATCCATTCCCATACACTAACACCAGCTGCAGGAGTTGTGTGTCTCAACATTAACAGACAGAACATTTTGTAGTTTGTATGTGATCTAAAACATCTGGCTGACTTGAAGTGATAAGCCAGGAAGAACTTGTGGCAACAAGGAGACCTGACTCGTTGCTGATCCCAACCTCCATCTCTTGAAGCTTCATATTATTTAAGGTTTAGAGGTTCTGATAAAATTTGTTTTACATTTTTCAATTAGACCGGCTAGTGGAGATCTAGTCAGAGATGGGAGATAATTTCACCATCAAAACTTCATTTAAAATTACTTCTAATCATAGACTTTTAAAATAAGTTGTTTTCCATTCCCAAAATAGTCTTTCTGGTTTGACACCTTGTTTTGGTCTGACAGCCTGTAAAATTTTACTGCCTTCTGCCAGCTTCCAAGAATGTGAAGAGCTGTGTGGATGCCATATAGGTGAAGTTAGTTTGCTCTGCCGTGAAACAAATGTACAGGAATAATGCAGTATTAATCTGGTTGAAAGTCAAGGAAAGGATACTATTAGCATCTGTGGGCTTTGCATCCTGTGAGTGCAGCAAGTTCAAAGCTGCATGCTTCCTGCTGAAGATGTGTCTTGTTTGTTTGGGAAAGCAGACAAGAGAAATGTCATAGGGAGAACTTTCCGATCCAAATTTTTCAAGGTACATGTTGTCTGCAGTTTATATTAGCTCCTGGAACTGCCAAAGCATAAGCACAATACTGTATGTCTGAGGCTGAGGGCTCACCTCAGCACTGGACACTGCACCATCTAGGACTGAGCATTGCTGCTCCTCTTCATAGAATCATTGAATGGCCTGGGTTGAAAAGGACCTCAAAGATCATCTAGTTTCAACCCCTCTGCTACGTGCAGGATCGCCAACCACCAGACCAGGCTGCCCAGACCCACATCCAGCCTGGCCTTGAATGCCTCCAGGGATGGGGCATCCACAACCTCCTTGGGCAGCCTGTGCTAGTGCATCATCACCCTCTGAGTGAAGAACATCCTCCTAATATCTAACCTCAACCTCCCCTGTCTCAGTTTAAAACCATCCCCCTCTGTCCTATCACAATCCACCCTCATAAACAGCCATTCCCCCTCCTGATTATACGCTCCCTTCAAGTACTGGAAGGCCACAATGAGGTCTCCCCAGAGCCTTCTCTTCTCCAAGCTAAAGAATCCCAGTTCCCTCAATCTTTCCTCATAGGAGAGGTGCTCCAGCCTTCTGATCATGCTCCTCTTCCCCACACCTGCCCTCAGGCATACTTTGAGCAATGCCTCCAAAAGTTTGGGTTTTTTTTACTGTTATTTTAAGCATTGCAGCTGTTTATCTGGAGATGTGTTTCTGAAACAAGGCTTGTTATATTCACATGCTCTGTGAAGATTATTGCTGCTCTTGCAAATGATTACTCAGTTCTCTCTGCAAAACTAAGTGCAGCATTGGGTATTTTCTATCTTGCGTACTTGAATGGCTCGCCTTGCTGTAGTGCCCAGCTGCTGCCCAGTCTGTACTGCTGTGTATCTTAACACCATCCCTGCTTGGATCTTTAAAAACCTTTTTTTTTTTTATGCACAGTCACTATGAGCATCAATCCTCTACAGTGTACGGTCTAGGCAAATCACCCCACAAAAGCGAAGAGATATTGATAGGACTCATAATCTCCCTAACAAAGATAAGGCTTTTATTACATACGTGTTAAGATGCTCACTGCAATCTTTACAGTTAAATGGAAAAGGCTGTTATGAAGGGGCTGATGGCTGATCTTTCATGAGACTCAGTTCAAGGAGACCTTGCAAGCTGTTGCTCACATGAATCAGCAGAGTCACATTAATTTAAAAAAAAAAAAAAGACAAACAAGAAAAATATCTGCTTTTAATGTATGCCACTTGCTGTTTTCTAGAGTGAAGATTCAGATGAAGAAGACCTCTGTGCTATCAGTAATAAATGGACTTTCCAAAGAACAAGCAGACGATGGTCTCGAGTGGACGACATTGATGCTTTACTTCACCAATCAGACAGACATGGATCTTCTGGGGATATTAAAATGAAAAATACAACAAGCAGTGAGAGTGTCCTTACAGATCTGAGTGAACCTGAGGTCTCATCTGTTCACAGTGAGAGCAGTGGGGGAAGCGACAACAGGAGTCCGTCCAGCATTAGCAGCATCGCCAGGGAGACCTGCAACTGCTCTGGCCAGCATGAGAGCACACTGCTGCCAGACTTAATGGTGATAAGCACTGCTCTGTCCCCCAAGGACAATGTTAAGAATGAGAAACCAATGCGAACCAAAACAAAAACCTTTCTAAAGCGTATGGAGACACTAAAAGCAAAAGGTGTGCATGGAAAACTAAAAGGCTCGGGAAGAGCAGGTCCTTTAGAGATAAGCAGACCTGTTCTTCAGCGTGAGCCGAAATCTTTGAAGGACATGCACTGTGTACAGATAGTCAATGGGGATCTCCAAAACTTAGCACAAGATTCAGGCAAAAGAGGACTTTCCTTTTCTGCCAAATCCAGCAGTGAAAGCAGTCAGTCTGAAAACAGCAGCAGTGGGGTGAGCACACCATGTTTGAAGGAACGCAAATGTCATGAAGCGAACAAGAGAGGTGGGATGTACCTGGATGATCTAGATGTTCTGGCAGGAACAGCTTTACGGCAAGTGGTGGACCAAAACCGCAAAAATGAATTTCATTCCCAAGAGAACTTGGTTGTGCATATTCCCAAGGACCACAAACCAGGGACCTTCCCAAAGGCACTTTCTATTGAAAGCCTCTCACCTACAGACAACAGTAATGGTGTAAACTGGAGGACGGGCAGCGTCTCTTTGGGAAAACAGAACTGCTCTACTCCAAAAGAGACTGGACTGATGGCTTGCTGTCCTAAGGAGAGCAGAATTAGTATTTACGACAATGTGCCAGGTTCCCACTTGTATGCTAGTACTGGAGACCTTCTGGATTTAGAAAAAGGTGAACTTTTTCCTCATTTAGATGACATTTTGCAACACGTCAATGGACTCCGGGATGTAGTAGATGGTTGGTCAAAAAATGTGTTGCCGGGTCTGCCAGTTGATGATGTGTCAGTCAGAGAGTCTCCATCGTTACCTTTCCAGTCAACCACACAGATCACACTTGATTTTGAAGGAAACTCTGTCTCTGATGGCCGGACCACACCAAGTGACATGGACAGAGATGGAACATCCCTGAATGAATCAGAGGCTACTGGTGTTAGAGAGAGGAGAGACTCTGGAGTGGGAGCATCTCTCACAAGGCCAAGCAGGTTGGTAGCAAAATTTGGTATGGAAATCCATCTTTCCTCTTTCATTAACAATAAGACAGGCTGTGAAATATGACAAATGAAACAGAAGCTCTCAGTTCAGGAGTCATAAGGTTGACATAATTACATCATTACAGTTGTACATCCTGTATGGGAAAGGGGACTTCCCAGGGAAAGTGTGGGAGTTCTGGAGAAAATGCATCCTACTGTGGAATTTTTTAAATGCAATCAGTGGAGAATTGGCAAACTAAGGGTTTTTTTTTTTCTCTCTTGATCTGTAATATTCAATTACATAATAGAACTCTGTATATATTTTGCAATCTTATTTTCAATTTGTCTTTCAAACTATGTACTCCAGTGTGTATGTTTCAGTAGTCTCATGCACTTTTTTAGGCTCTGGTCTACTTTAAAAATATGACCCTTTATTCACAAAGAGTATTTCCCTACCCTGCCCCAGTCTCTCGCATATCTGGTATACAATTAACCTGTTAATAGAAAGTCAGGATCAGTTCTGCTGAGCCAAGGGAGCACGGCTCTGGGTAAAGGCCTTTGCAGATCCATACTGCTGTGGGTTTGTGTGTGCAGAAGCAGTGAGCAAATACCTGTTACTTTCTGATCTGCAGTCAGTCTTGAAACCTCAAAGAGAATTCTTCCATGCCGTAGTTTATTGCTGCCTGTGGTTGCTCACCACTGTCACAAGCAAGTGAACTCGGGGTAAGCTGCTAAGTAAATAAGCTGTGTCAAAGTTTGTATGAATTATGTCAGAATTCATGTTTAGCAAAACAAGAAACTGAAAGGAGGTTGTTGGGTTTTTTTCAATATATACAGTATTTAGAGAAAATACATTGGAATAAAGAGAAGATGTGAGTGTCTCAGTAGCTTGGTGGTTATCAGTCTTCCCTAGGAGACTCAGTGTTCAATCCCTTCTCTGAAAAGACCTCCAGTATTTAAAAATAGAGCTGGTTGGAGAACTTAATCTACAAATACCTTGGTGGTTAGACTGTTCTCCTGAGAGGTTAGGGACCAGGCATCAAATCTCATTTCTGAGTCAGGAAGAGAATATTTTAATCTGGAACTCCCACATACTGTTGAAGTGTGTAGGCTAATGGGCGTAAGAGGTCACACTCCTTCCTTTAGTACATATATGAGACCCTCACCCTCTTGGGAATATAATGTAAAAAAAAAAAGAAAAGAAAAGCTTGAATATTTCCAAAATAAAAAGATCAAACATTGTTTTGTATGCCTCCAAGCTATATTTTCTTTCAGTTGACACAGCATGCATGGTAATGTATGTTTTTGCATGTTTCGTACATTGCCTTATCTCACAGTATACTATCTTTTTCTGCCCAAATAAGAGTTCTGTTTTTCTATTGTTTTTTGGTTTTTGTTTTTCCTAAAGGCAATTACGATGGCATAGTTTCCAAATTTCTCATCATCTGAGCAACTCCATCGCATCACTTCACATCAGCAATCAGTCAGCAGCCCAGCTGAATCTGCTGCAAAAATTCTCTCTACTTCGTCTTACAGCCATCATGGAAAAGTACTCCATGTCAAACAAACATGGCTGGACCTGGTGAGTACCATCAGTATCTGCAGAAGAGATATATTTAGAAGGAAATAGTTATTTCTAATCCTATTATTGTGATAGTAAACTGATTTAATACAGTTGGGAGGTACAACTGACAGTAATTGTAGCGCTTGAAACTGTCTCTTTTAATCTGTTGCTACCTAGTGACTCAGTGGCCAGGTCAGATCCTGGAGATCGAACTTCATTCCTGTGCTCTTAACAGAGAAACAACCTCAGCTTCTCTAGCAACGCTTTTGTTCCAAAAAATAAACAGGAGTAGGAGGAGAGTGATTGAAAAGAGGAAGTGTTTACAATAAGTCTTCCCCACAATTGATTTTGTGATTCAAATAGAAACATCTGCTGATAGTATTTCATGTATTTGATATTGTTTTGTTTGTGCTTTAAAAGAACAGTTAGAACAGTTTGAAGAATTTCAAATACAAATAGAAAGACATACACTTACCCTAGGTCTGGACTTGCATTAAAGTGAGCTTCTAGTTGTAACAGCTGTAACACCTGCCTGGTCACTAGGACAGTGGAGTCAGGGTAAGATGGACAGGAATGGTGGCAACATGGCCCTTTTGTATCCAACCAGCTACAGAAATCTACATACTGACCCTGATGGAGCATACAGTCTAAGGCAGCCTGGAACAGAAATGTACATACACAAGAGATTATAAGTACCTGAGAAATAATGAAAAGAATGTTTTTTCTGCTAATATATGGATTCTGTGACAAAAAAAATAACATGACTTGACATTTACATTATGATTTCCACTTTCAAAAGACTTCACCAAAATTGCCATAAATTCTTCTGAGGGCTAAATGAGACAAGTTTGTGTTCAGAAGTGGAGAAATAGATACAAGGGACTACATGTGAGAACCACCTCAAACACATCAGCCACTCCAAAAATTTGTAAGTCTAATCTGAGCAAATCAGGTTGGCTGCCTCTGTGGTCAGTGGAAGAAGACAGGCAACCTCAAAAGCAACTCATTCCAAGCCAGAATGTTTGGGTCAATCTCCAAAGGTGTCTTACTCCACATTGGTTGTAGAGGCAGTCAGGACTGCTAACTCTTTGTGAAATCTATTTTTAAGAGCTAAAATTCAGTAAGGTGAGCCCCCAGCTTGCAGTTCTCTTTTGGTGAAGTTCCCTTTGTCTAGGTGACAACTTGTCTGTGCTGAAATGAGTCTCACTTTACACAACACCAAACAGGCAGATTAGAATACAGCAAATTCTAGATTTTGCTGGTTGTACTGAGGTTTCCTTCCCTGACAAATCTTTCTTCAGTTTATAATCTGTCTCTTAAAAATTTAGAAGCAGTGGGACACTATAAATAGCTTAGATCTATATGTTGTTTTCCTTCAATAGGTCATTTAATCTTAGTTTTATTTCCTTCTCACACGGAAAAGAAAATCTTCATCATATTCAGGTCATATTCTTTTTTTTTTTTTTTCTTTTTAATTCCACTGAAGTCATGACTCTGACAGGGGGAATCCAGTTTCTTTCATTTTCACCATTGGTTACGGAAGAAAGCATGCTTAACAGCTTCACTTAAGTAACTTGGCTAGAATCAACTGTATGACACCAGGGATGCGTCAGACACGTAGGGATTTCCCACCAATCCTTTATTACTGTAAATTATTCGACAATGGAAATACTAAGTTACGTAACTAATACTATAAAACATGGTTCAGTACACAAGAGAACTGAACTTCATTTTCTTTTAGATACCCGCTCCACTATCCTGTGCTATTCCTTTGAATCCTTAATAGATGTTTTAAATTATGTTGGTTTCAGCTGGATGACAACTGCACAGTAAATGTGTTTTGCTAAAGCTAACTGTTATGCTATATCTTAGAGCCAGAGGCCAACAATCTATAAAAGTTGTTAAGATGTCCACAGATTATACAGATTGTATATTGCCCGTTGAAAATTACTTGATCATCTTTATAAAATAGGAACTGGTCCCAGTTACCAATTTCTGCTTGCAGTGTTACTCAGAAATGCTCTGTAAATATTCAAATATTTTGATGCACTCTGTTCACATCAATTTTCAGGTCTGTACCAAAGTTCATGAAGCGGATGAAAGTCCCTGACTACAAGGACAAGAACGTCTTTGGCGTGCCTCTGATAGTTCATGTCCAGAGAACAGGACAGCCTCTTCCCCAAAGCATTCAGCAAGCACTACATTACTTAAGAGGCAACTGTTTAGATCAGGTGAGAACTTTGCTACCAGGAATATGGTTGATTTTTCTATAAAAACACTAAGCAAACAGTCGTGAACCTTTTTGTACTTATTATCAGAATTATTTGAAGTCTTATACCTCATGTTGGGCCCAGATCTCTTCCATTGATTTGTTACTTGGTACCAATACTGATTGTTTGTTATTTTGGAATTTGTATTCAATGAATTAGTTGAATTCTTGTAGATGTAACAGTCCTGATGACTTGTATACAATGATCTGCCTCTGGGAATGATGTGAGATTTTCATGTCAATTGAGTCAGTCCTGGAAAAAGCTCAGGAGTCCCTTTTTCTACTTGTATTTGCAGTGTTTATGCTTCATTTTTGCCATTAAGAGTTAAATGCATTCACCATTTCACAAGATATGGTACAAAAAGTTTTATTTACTTAGCAAAGAAAAAAAAGTCCAAGAACAGAGAGCAAACTCAGCAAAATATTCCAAGTATTCTGTTGACAAAGTCAGACATATCCAGATAGATTTGGGTCAGCACGGGTTCAATGCCAAAGCCATTATGGTACATTTCCTTTTATAGCGTTCTTAGCTGCAACAAGCCAATTGGGGGGCCTGTATGCTCAAAGTATTTTGGATGTTTTCACTCCCTTTACTTACAGAGCAAGGACATAGTCATCATATTTTTATTGTTCTTCCACTAAGAATGATGAACGTAGGGTTGAGAGAAACCCCCTGGCTCACTGAGTTCAGTTCTTTACTGTTGTTGGCATCATGTCATATAACCTCTTCTGTAAATGCTCTTTGATAGTTTCAAGTTCAAAAAGGAGCAACCAGCATTTTAGTCTGCAGACATTCCTGGCTCTGAGCAAACAGGGTGTGGGTGGAAGTGGTCAGTTCTGTTTCTGATCCTTATTCTGTCTGCTGTTCAAGTTGTAATGTTTATAGAATCATAGAATCTTCATTGGAAAAGGACCTTCAGGATCACCAAGTCCAACTATCAACCTGACCTACTGTATTCCATCGCTAAATCATGTCCCTTATACCGTACCCGCTCATCTCTTAAGTACCTCCAGGTACTGAGACTCCACCACTTCCCAGGGCAGTCCCTTCCAATGAAGAAAATCTTCCTCATATCCAACCTAAACCTCCCCTGGCATAACTTGGGACTGTTTCTTCACATCCTATTGTCACTTCAGCAAAGAGACCAACACTCTACTTGATGCAGTCATCTTTCAAGTAGCTGTAGTAGTTGAAGAGAGCGATGAAGTCTTCATTTAGCCTCCTCTTCTCCAATCTAGCCTAATCCTCTTTCCTCAGTCACTCCTTGTTTTCTAGACTCTTCTGCAGCTTTGTTGCTCTTCTCTGCACACACTTGCGCAAATGAATATCTCTCTTGTAGTGAGGGGCCCAAAACTGAGCACAGTATTCAAGGTGCAGGTTTATCAGTGTTGAATACAAAGGGACAATCACTTTTCTTGTCCTGATGACTATGCTATTTCTGATACAAGCCAGGATGACATCAGCCTTGGACACCTGAGCACACTGCTGGCTCATTTTCACTCACCTGTTGACCAGCATTGCCTTGTCTTTTTCTGCTGAGTGACTTTCCAGCCACTATTCTAAAAGCCTGTACCACTGCATGGGGTTGTTATTACAGAAATGTGGGATCTGACACTTATCATTGTTGAATGACATGCAGTTGGATTCAGCCTGTTGATCCATCTTACCCAGATCCCTCTGCAGAGCCTTCCTGCCCTAAAGCATGTCAACAATCTCGCCTCACTTGGTGTTATCTGTAAAGTTACTGAGGGTGCACTCTATTCCTTCATCTAGATCACAGATAAAAATGTTAAATAAAGCTGGCCCCAGTAGTGAGCCCAGGGTAGTGCCACTGCTGACTGTCTTCCTACTGAACTGAACCCCATTCACTAGGACTGTTTAAGCACTGGCCATCCAGCCAGTTCTTCACCCAGTGAGCTGTACGTCTGTCCAAGCCATGAACAGTCAGTTATTCCAGGAAAACAGTGTGGGAAACTTTACTAAGATCCCAGAAAGCAACACCTACAGCCTTTCCCTTATCTATGAATGGGTCATCTTATCACAGGAGATCAAGTTAGTCAGGCAGGACCAGCCTTTCATAATCTCATGCTGCCTGCTTCTGATCACTCAGTTGTCCTATATGTGTCTTGTGATATTATGTAACAGTCATGTTCGCCAGAACGGAAGTCTGAACATTAAATGTCTAGCTGTGAATCACATCTGTTTCCTTCTGCAGCTAGTGGGAAGAAATAGGCAGAACTTCCTGTCTTTCTGTTGACTACAAAGAAACCGTATATTGGTCAGACCTTGATATCTAACTCTTGGGTGTTGAAAGAGAAGTGAGATGAGATCTCTCTTAAAACATGAAGTGCAGGATACAAGGGGTGGGATGGATACCTTGTTGAAAATGCGTTGGTAGAGGATGGAATTGAAGATTAATAGAGAAAAGTGAAAAAAAATACACTGAAGAGCTAACATTCCTGGTTATCTCTGTGTTAAGCTGTTTTTGTGGACTGAGCTGGGAAACCCCGTGTAAGAAAAACAGTGAGGCAGCAAACCTAGAATCAGTGATGAAACTGGAGGAGAAGATAATTGTCTAAGCATGAGAAAAGGAGATGGGGAGACAGTAGGAAGAAAAAGTAAAGACTGGGGAGTAAACAAGGAAGAAAGTAAAAGGGAGAGTAAAACCAAAGAGGAGGAGAAAGCTCTCAAGAGATTTGAGACAGTCAAAAGCAGTGTCACTGGGAAGTCTCAGGCAAGTATCTGTGCCAAGAGGGAGGGTTTGGTTGCTGGGAAGCATCAGAGCTACGTGAAGGGTCATTTCAGCTCAGCTTGAGTTTCCCCTCAGGGTGGAATTGGGAATAGAAAGTGAAGTACAAATCAGGACAATTTAAAATATCTTCCACCAAAAGCCTTTCTGGGCCAAAAACCTCCAGGCAACTCAGTTTCTCTGCTTTAAAGTCATTCCTTTTGTTCCCATTTAATTCAGAATCTCCAAATGCCTGTCCAGAGGTCTAAGCAGCCTCCAGTCCTCCCAGCAGCTTGTTTGTGTGTCTGTTCTGTGCATTGCAGAAGTCCTGAATAGGCATCAGAGCTTCTGCACTTAGTAAAGTTGAGGTTGCTGTAAATCATTGTAAGATCTGGCTTCTGACACCGAAATGCCTAAAGATGATACGAGGATCCTCACCGTTAGTTGTAGGATATATTACTCATTTTCAACTTGGGAAGTAGAAACTGCTATGCCTTTGTCAAGTGCATCTTTATTTCTGTCATGCATCATATGGCTGCTTGCAGGGCAGATGATCCACAGCATGAGGATAATAAAGAGATTGGGCCAAACTAATCGCTGATAAATCTCTGGATTTATAGTCTCATTTTTATTTATAGAATTTTGAAGAACAGAGATGAAATATCTCTTCCTATCAAGAGAAGAAGTGGTTCTCTTTTGATTAATAATGAATTTATTTAAAAAAAAAAAAAAAGAGTTCAGATGAATATCATCAAATAAAAGCAGAGGTCGAGAGTAGCAGAATGCTGTCCAGCAGGAGATGGCACTGGTGAGATCTGATGTCTGACCTCTTGCATCAGCCTTAGCTGGAAGATTTTAAAGCTGCTTTATACCAGCAAGAGCGCTTTCCATCCGAAGCAGTGAACTGAGCTTTTGCTCTCGCATTTATCTACCACACACCCAAGTTGTATTATTTGGATAGGATTAACGTATGTCCTTCTGCGTCTTCAGAACACATTTCTATGAGGAAAAGGGATTTGAAGGGATGAAGAGAAAGAGAAAACCAAATGAAAAGAGTCAGATGCTCTTTCTTGTATTCTTTTGTTAAAACTAAGGAGAGCTTCACCTGTGAAGGGAGATACAATACACAGGATGTACAAAGGGCAAATTCTGCTTCTCTAATCCCTACATATAAATTTAGATCACGAGCGGCACTGCACTCACAAATAAGAAGGCATACAGAGAAACAGCTCACTGCCACTGTTTGCAGTCTGGTGTAATAGTTCGTCTCCTTATAAACGAATACATCTCCTCTCAGAGCTGCACAGTGTGTGATTCATGTCATCTGTGCTATTAATGTACAAGCTAACAAAAGTCCTAAGTACCTTATGATTGAAGTGTTCTAGAGAGGCAGTTCAGGATGAGCATGTACCCAGGTGACCTCTTTGCTGGCAGAAGTGAGAGGATTAAGGATGAAGGGCATACTTCCTTGCCTTTACACTTTTTACTTAGTGGAATACAGTGTAGAAAACTGAAGAGTGAGACAGCAGACACAGAAAAGCTGACATCCAAGCCATAAATGTGCTTTTTTATAGATCTTTCTCAATAGTTCACCTTTTCCCCTGCAAAAATGAAGGCAAAACAGTGCTTACACTTTCCAAATGAAAGCATGGAAACTCAGGAATAAATAATGTGGTTCAGGCTTAGGAATTCGCCCCAGGGGAATTCCACTTGTGAGAACTTCTGTAGAAAGGCAGCACCGCTGTGAAGGCACTTGCAGGCCTCATTTTAAGAATTACCACTTCCTCTAGAACAGAGAGCAAACAAGATAAAAATGTATCTTAGTGACACTGCACAAATAATCCCTCTGCAGCCTCCACTTTCAGACTGGGGTTTTCAGTGGAATTTGGGGTAAGCAGAGAGCAGGAAGGGGAAAAAATAGATTTGGTCTTGATTTGAAAGCTCAACCAGGATGTACTAATCTGTTGCCACAGCATTTATTACTTAGCTGAGCATAATATTTTCTTGTTAGTCTTCAAAATATACACTCAAATAAAGACGAGGAACAAGATTCTCAGCTGGAGTAAATCAGCAGACAGTTTCCAAAGCCAAGCAAGCCACGCTGATTTATATCAGCTAAGCATCTTGCTTATGCTCTTCAAGCAACAGCGTAACCACATGCACTCTGAGTGCTCCATCTACCATCTGATACAGATCTGTAGTGAGATTAACTCTTACAGTCCCATCACTAGAGCATGCAATTGTGTACAAGACCATAGGCAAGTCACGGCTGTGGCATCTACAGGAGTTCCTCTTGTTCTTGCCTAGTGCAAACATAGCTTTTGTTGCAATCAAAACCTCCCATAAAAGGGAATTTTTAAAATATTTTAAATAACTTTGGGTTTTTGTCCCATTCCACGTGGCACCTTCTTAGGTGGGTCTGTTTCGAAAATCTGGAGTGAAGTCTCGAATCCAGGCCCTGCGTCAGATGAATGAGAGCTCCCCAGAAAATGTCAACTATGAAGACCAGTCAGCATATGATGTAGCAGATATGGTAAAGCAATTTTTCCGTGACTTGCCAGAACCCCTCCTCACAAGTAAGCTGGGAGAGACTTTTCTACACATCTACCAATGTAAGTAGCATGATATTTATTACTATATATAGCTCAAAGTTATTGTAAGTTATGGAATCATAAATTCTAAGTAATTTTGATGTGTGAACGCTGAATGGAATTCTTTATGTTCACCTCTGAGGTGCATAAAAGAACATCTCTGCTCTCAAAATACTTAGCTGACAGATTTTTAGAACTGTCTAAAATTGGCAAAATATTGCAAGCATGCAAATCTTAAGAAGCTTTAAATGTATTCACCTTGCAGTCAGGAAGACAGCAGAAAGAAAGACTGGCCATGAACATTAAAAATGTAAAACCACATTTCTTTAAACTGTGAGCCCATTTTGTGCGCATTTTAAATATAAGTGAGTCTTTTGAGCATGGAGAAGCATTATGCCTGTGAGAATGCATGCCTGTGCAGTCTGTTCCTTCCTGTGACTTGATTATTTGAAAAGCTTTTATGTGAAGATCTCACAAAGAAATAAAAAAGCCACGGATTTGTTGCTTTCATTTCAGCATCAGGATATGTCTGCCTATGTGCACATCAGTGAGCTTGTTCATAAAAGAAACAGGAATTATTGGTGCTCATAAAATGACAATCATAATTGCTTCCGTCGGTGAACTGACTGAGGAGAATACTGGTGTCAAAAAGGATGTGTTCTACATGTCCTTGGAAACAGACTGCTTTTAAACTATTGCTCAATGAAAATTGGAGTGTCCTATCTTGGCATGGGAGAGACTGCAAACAAACACAGAAATATGGCAGATCTCAATGCCATCAGTGTTATTAAGTCTGTAGCCAGAAAGAATCCCATCTCCACGTCAGGAGCCTGGCATTAGGATTCACAGCAGCCAAAAGGCTGAACAGTGAAACAGTGCTACCAGCCAACAGAAGATGCTGTAGAAGAGGGCACAGGCTGAGTCTGCACTGATCTGCAGTGAGAAATCTGAATAACTGTATACATTTGTGAGAGAAAGAATAAGGCTTGGAAAGATATTTTTGTGTTACAGAAGTATTTTGAAGGAATTCAGGAAGTCTTGATCTGTTTAGAATGAGGTGAGAACAGGAAAAGATGGGCTTTTGTTGACACCAGAAAACAATGATTGGATTAAAAACAAAATCAGTGTTTTTTTTTCTACTTGACCAACAACAGATATGTTTTTCTGTTTTAGATGGTACTGACAGAATCCCTTTCACAGAAAGAAAAATGTTCAAAATTGCTGGGATACCAATTGGATTTCGTAACGTCTGCAATTAAATAAAGTTGTAGCTGGGACGTTTTCTTCCCATTCATTCTGTTTAACAAATTATTTCTGTGAGGTTAAAAAGGATTTTTCCTCTCTTAGTTTACTGGCAAGGTATTTCTGGTTCTCTGGGAGTTACTGAACATCTTTTTCAGATATCCAGGATGTTTTTCATGTACCCAAAATGGTTTGATTTGCTATAGCACAGCAGAGTGGGGATGAGATTAGCGTCACAGTCTATGTGGCTTAGCACTGATGGAACTTTCTCCATTTCCCTAAAGCCCTTCATTGCCTAATGTTTACAAACCTCTGAGATGAGAGGCAGAGGCTCCTCTGACTTCCCAGAAAGACCTGGCCTTGGTGCTTCTTGAAAATCAGAGACATTGCATTGTGTTCAGTTTATCATTCGTGTCTGAAAGCTTTTAAAATAAAGTGCTTGTGCAAGATTAACAGGCAGAGCTTAAAAGGTGGCTGTACCCTGTACAATAAATCTACTTTTGTTGTTTTTCTTCAATTGTATAGAGCATATATAACATGGAGAGGAAGGCTCCAAATCCAAACTGAGAAAACTTAGAGTAGTTTTAGAAATGAATCTGAGATGCTGTTTAAGCATATCCATTACTTCTTCCATTAAACTGTGCTACAGTTTAGGACATTTTAGTATCTTTCAGAAGCTCCCCTGGGTGCTTTGAACTGTCTTCCCAAGGGACAAAAGTAACCTGAAAAGTACCAACTGAGTGCTCCTTCCATAAACTTTAAATGAAATTCAGACTCTTTCTTGGTAAATGGCCTTTCCAGCTATTTCTTTGATCTTACAGTTAACCCCACTGAACATCACTTGCTTTGCTGCAGATGTCCCCAAGGAGCAGCGGCTGCAGGCCGTGCAGGCAGCCATCATGCTGATGTCAGATGAGAACCGAGAGGTTTTGCAGACACTGCTGTGCTTCCTGAGCGACGTCACCTCTGTGGAGGAGAATCAGATGACTCCAATGAACATAGCTGTTTGTCTGGCCCCTTCCCTCTTCCATCTCAATATAGTGAAGAAAGAAAGTTCTCCAAGGTAAGTTCATTCTTAACACCATAAGTAAGCCTGTCCTTGACAAAAAAAAAGCAATACAGGATAAAATTTTCCAAGGTGTCTGCTCTCTGTGACATGTTACCCAGGGCATAGCTTCAGCAAGAGGGAAAAGCAGACACTGCGTAGCCAGAAGCGCATGCACTGAAGGTATTTTTGCAAGCCCAGCAAGGTGTTTGTGTCCGCATAGTGTGAATATGCAAGTGCCAACCTTTCATGCAAATTTTCACTGATGTATTAGTGAGTTTTACATTAGTAATGTTGTCTTCTGTGAAGGGAAAGAGCTTGATTTTGCTCTGGGTGAAGTCCAAGATCGCTCATGTTTTGAAGGATTTGAACACATAGTCTCTCGGTCAGTGGATGTTTGCAGAAATGAATGTTTGCAGATGCAGTGCTTGTTAAAAGAGCTGGCTGGACAAATGCGGGATGGCAGATCAGGAAATCTTGATCTCGTTTGTATCGCTGAGTTTATTTCAGACCATGTTAAGATGTATAATGCAGTGAGTGTAGACTAAGCAGGACATAGACTTGCTAAACATAAGTGGTCCCAACTTGATGTCCCTTCTGACATTTTTTCCTGTCTGATTTAGAATACACTGAGATTTATAGCTGTGTACATGTATAACATTTTCTGAGCAAGAACTTCAAGCAGTAGCATTGTGCCTGCTGGAAATCCTTTCCAAAATATATAATGCCTAATGCAGGACATACATAGTCTTTTCTGCTTTATCTTTGCTGCAATAATGCTTTAGGTACATTTTTCCTTTAAAAAAGGCCCAGTGGTCTGAACAGTCTTTGTGATAAACAGAAGTTTAAAGATAGACTTTTTGCTCTGGTGTTAAGAACATCCTGCCACTATGTTTGCTTTTGTATTGAAAAGATGCAGCTCTTTTTACCTGAGATATTGAATTCAATTACAGAGTAATACAGAAAAAATATGCAACAGGGAAGCCAGATCAGAAGGATCTCAGTGAAAACCTGGCAGCTACTCAGGGACTTGCTCACATGATAATGGAATGCAACAAACTTTTTGAGGTGAGTGAGAGACTCAAACGGCATTATTCATGGACACATAATGCAGCATCCTTTGAAGTATTTATGTTTATGCTTGCGTTCTCTATCTCGCATTAGCACAGAGATTGATGGTGCCTCACTTATTTGTAAACTTGCTCCATCTGAAATTTATCTATCTCATTTCTTTATGATTGTTCCCTTCTAGCATTTGAAGATGCTGCTATTAAAAATGCAGAGTAATTATTCTATGGCGGTTTTCAACTCAAAGATTAGTAAATCTTAGTTTAATTAAAAACCAAATATGCTGTTTTAACATTTCATTTTATTATAAAGCTTTTACTGCATGAATTAAAACTAATCCATCTCAAAAAGAAGAGCTGATACATTTTCTTTCTTTGTGTCATGCAATAACATTAAAATCACAGGGGGAGATGTAGTCATTCCTGGAGCTGCTTTGGCTGAAGGACTAGGAGAGGTAGCAATTGTAACTCCCCTCCCTGGAAGCACAAAGCAACATTTCTGGGGACGGGCGGGTAATTCAATTGTATTGTCATAGAATCAATCTGTCTAACATGGTTTTGCATGAGTAATGCTATTCTGACCCATTGACTGTTCCATTATATTACCTTGATTTCTCAGTAAGGCAAAAATAGCTATCTACTTTACTGACTGTAGGCTCATTGCAATTGGACACTAAGTGATCTGTCAGCCTAGAAAGCACTGCCTTAAGGAAAAGATCTCAGCAAGAGATTTTCCCTGTGTGATTTCTCCCACTTTTGTGATGCAGGTCCCACATGAGATGGTCACTCAGTCCCGAAACTCCTACATCGATGCAGAAGTGCATTCTCCCACCCTGGATGAACTTGGGAAACAAGTGGATGAGGAAGGAGGGAACTACCAGATGTACCTTGAAAATCTCATGCAGAATCTCCACAAAGAAGCAAAAGACAAATTCAAAGGATGGGTCACATGTTCCAGTATGGAGAATACAGAACTCGCCTACAAAAAGGTAATTAGGAGAGAAATGGAAGAAAAGGTAAACAACCAAAAGTGAAATAAAGCTATGTAGCTATGGGACCCAGTGACTTGCATAACTAAATATATATCCTTCCATTTGCTGAGGCAGTGATAGTCCAGGGCTGCTGGAATTATAAAAACAGAATGGAGGCCCACACACCAGAATGCCTGATGTGGGGAGGTGGAGGCTAGGGTTGACTCTGGCATTGTAGGGAAAGTAGTTACACCAGTACAGGAGAGACCTGGACATACAGGAGAGTCCGGTGGAGGGCCAGGATGACAAAGGGACTGGAGTACCTCTGCTCCTAGGAGAGGTTGAGAGCTGGGACTGCTCATCTTGGAGAAGAGGAGGCTGAGGGAGATCAGTATTCTTAAATCTCTGAAGGGAGAGTGCCAAGAGGTGGGAGCCAGGCTCTGCTTAGTGGTGCCCAGTGCCAGGACAAGAGGCCTTGGGCAGTAGCTGGAATAGAAAATGTTCCCTCTTAACACCAGGCAGGTGGCACAGGCTGCCCAGAGGCTGTGAGATCTACATCTTGGAGATCTTCCAAAGTGGTCGTGACATTTGGGCACCCTGCTTTGGGTGTCCCTGCTGGAGCAGGGATTGGACCAGGTGGCCTGCAGAGGTCCCTTCATGGCTCAACCATTCTGTGATACTGTGAAGGGCACTGGAAGGAGTGTGCAGTCTGGATGGTGAGGGGACAGGAGGCAGCATTTGCCTGTTAAGTGCAATTCCTTTGTTAGCACTGAGAAATCACAATTACTCTGGTTTATAGTCAGCTTCTCTCTGTGACCCTCTGGGGAGGTACTGTGGGAAGTTTTAGAGTGAGGAGCAGGGCAAAGGTGAGAGTAGGATATGGGAGTGGGGGATGCTGGGGAATGGGACATGGATATGTCTAGTGTCAGGGGCATGGGGACTGAAGAGAGGACTAGGAGAAGTCCAAAGTGGGAGGACTGGAGAACTGAGATCTATGGGAAAGAGGAGTTAGAACAACATGAAGTAATTTAAGATGGAAAAGGTGGGAGCTGGGATTCTGGGAACACGATTCTGGGTCTGTGGGAGATGCTGTGGGTTTCTGGAGCACTGGAATTTATATGTGAGGATGCCAGCACTGGAAGGTGTAGGAAGACAAGCCTTGCAAGATCCAGTTGACTCGTTTGCTGCCTGAAATACAACAGCCCTGAAACCACACAGAAATGCTGCATATGAAGAATTCAGGTTATTCATATTGCACATGTCCCAGCACTTTCTGCTCCCTTATTGCTTGCTATGAAGGTGTAACAGTATCCATGAGTTACAAAGACCTGACAAGTAGCTTATGTTTTCCTTCTTTGGGAGGTGCTTTCCCAATACTCTCTTGCAGCTATTTTGAGGAAGAAACACCTGTGTACCTAACACAGAAGTGAATCAACTTATTTTCTGTTCCTTCATGTTCTGTTCTTCCGCTCGGCAAGCTGACCCTCAGTTCTGGCTACTGCATCAGGTTGCCCAGGGTGGTAGCTTTGTTTCAGAGCAGCGTTTCAGGTCTGGTTTCATCTGTTGTCACTTTTACACATCCACATTCTTCACTGTACATGGGTTGCTTGAGGTTATAATAGTGTCTGTGACACCAGAAATAATCAAGCTGTCCCACTGGTATGAGAACTGGTCCAGATATACATTGGTGTGAAAGCAGAAGTACTAAATCACTTTAGTTTTCCACCCAGGACTAGTATGCACAAGTTTTTACATGCAGAGAGCAGCAGTAGCAATAGTAGTGATGATTAGCAGGGAAATTTGCATGCTCTCAAGCTTCATTTTAAGCTCAGGCCAGATAACCATTCCAAGATTTTGTCCTCAATTATTCTCTGCTGAGTGTTTGCGTATATTTGCATGGAATTTTATGCTCTTTGCTGCTTTCCTCCAGGTTGGGGATGGGAACCCTCTAAGGCTTTGGAAAGCCTCAGTGGAAGTTGAAGCCCCACCATCAGTTGTTCTGAACCGAGTGCTGAGAGAACGTCACCTTTGGGATGAAGACTTCTTGCAATGGAAGGTTGTTGAGAGCTTGGACAAGCAGACAGAAGTTTACCAGTATGTTCTGAACAGCATGGCTCCTCATCCTGTCCGAGACTTTGTTGTTCTAAGGTAAGCTAAATGCAATTCTCTGATATTCTTGCTGTCCACAGTGCAGACAAGCAAAATCTGTTCTTACCTCAGCCTTAGTATCTGTAAACTGTGCTTTGAGAACTCTACTTCTGGGCAGCAGCATTTATTTCTTAAACTGAATTAAAATTACACACCTAAAGCATGCTGACCTTTTCTCTGATGTAATTTGAGCAGCACATACTCCTGAGACCATAAATATTATTTATTCCTTAGAACAGATGTCTGATAATAGCTGTTGTTCTTTTAGCTTTGTTTGTTGTCAAAACAGTGCAAACAGAACCCAATTGTTTTTTACATTGCTTTTGCTGTCCTCTAGGGAGTGTTTCATGTTTAAGAGCTAAATGTTTAGTGAAGAAGATAGCAATGCTTTTAAGCTGAGCGTCTTATATAGCCTCTATATAAGTTGTTATTTTAGATTTGAGGTTGAAGACTGTAGACCAAGAAACACAGAAATACTAACCCATAAAAATTATAGTGTGGGAATGAACAGAGACAGCAGATTTGTGCTCTGACTGTTTTCAGGGGATGAGATCTGTCAAAGAAACGTATAGCTGTATATCAGTATTCCAAATTCAGCCTCAGTTCTACTACTGTCTACGTGCCCATATGGAACAAACAAAAATATATTCCTCTAAAGTACATCCTGCCTTTGAAATCCTTACCCTTTTCCTGCGAGGAGCTATTGTGGAGCTGCTGACATATTTCACTTGCAGGGTCAGTCCTGCAGTTACTTATTTCAGGATGATTTTGTGTGTTCCCATTCTCTGTCATTGCTTTCTTTGACTAAAATGATGTGCCAGACAAATACTAAGCAGTTTTGAGAATGGAAATAGTCCAGTGAGTCAGAACTGTATTGGAAGGAGCAAAGATTGACAGAAAAGGATGAGCCCAATAAAATATAATTTTAATAGTACATCTCTTTTATGAACTTCATTATTCTCTTGGAGAACTATAACAAGCAGATATTGTTGGAATGGAGGAAGAATTATTGGAACTCTTGGAGGAAGATTTTTGAAATATTTTCTGTAAGACTTCATAATGTGAAAACTAGTTCTCCCATTACTCTATTTCCTTTGCCTTCCCGCAGAATATTGGGCCAAATTAATTTAGTTTATAATTGATTTTCTTATATATTATCAGTTTATACAAGTGATAAATTTGACCCTCTGTTTAGCACCCAGAAGAGCTTCTGGGAGCAGCCAGGAGGTTTTGATGACCATAATTCTGTCCTCTTATTTGCCACTTAATTCACTATTAGGTTTCATGGTGTTTTATGTTCTTTAAAGACCTGCTGTGCAGCCACATCAGTTAAAGCAAAATCTTGCCATCAAATCCTCCTTCATTTCACTATCCCAGGCAGAATGACCCCTAAGGACTGAAATATATATCATAAAACTGAATCCTAGTGGGCTTTTGAGGTCTGGAAACAGCCGTCAGGCAGATCTGTCACTTTCTGTTGTTTATCTCTTTTGATTTATATCAAGTCTAGAGCAAGGTTAGCCAGAGATACCGCAGTCAATTTGATACATTATGATCGGTGGGAAGTGAACAGTGAAATTGTAATTCACCTCTGGGGACATGAACAAATATATTTTAACAGACTGCTGTTTTCCCCTTTCCAGTCAAACTGGTGGCTCTAAAAGGATAAACCTCGTTGTACTTTGCTTCTTAATTTGGCAGGGGATTAGGCTACCTTGAGGGTAAGAGCATAGGGCCAGTGTTTCATATACCTGGGATCTGAGGCAATTTTCAGCTGCCCTGAACTTACATCACTTTTTGTTCAAGATTGCTCAAGTGTTTAGCGTTAGTTAAGTCTTACTGCATGTCTGTGAGCTAGGTGTCATACCTATTTTTATTCTTGCAGATATTTAGAGAAGTATGGTAACCAGCCTAAATCCGTATAACCAAGAATAGCAATTGTAAGTCTTCTGCAAAGTCAGATATACATCGTTTTCTACTTCAGAAATGACACAACCAAGTGTCACACAGTTACCAAAATGATGTGGTCACAGCTGAGCACTGTGCAGGTGGTAGCATGGCTCAGCATCTTGCAGGAGAGACTTCGTCATGTGTTGCATCTCCTAAGAACAATTCATCATTTTTAATGATGTACATACATGAAATCAGTATTTTTCTGAATTTTCCTGAAGAGCAGCTCAATTTCATGTCAAAAATGCAGAATGTTAAAGTATCTGTTGTCCAGATTTCATCAGTCCCTGAAAACTGCTCACCTGCTCATGCATGCAGCTTCCCACGGTAGCTTAATCCCTATCTCAGACAGTCTGTGGCAAGGTGATGCACGTAATACAATGCTGTGGAAATTTCTTATTTCCACAGCATAGGAAAAGAATACAGACTATCCTGTGAGATTCCAAGCAGACAAGAAAGACGTGAGACACCAGGAAATGTAGAGAATTCCAACAGAACAAGAAAAAAATGTTAAGTATTAAAGTCTGGATCTCCTGAACCTGTGAAAAGCGTCTGCAGCCTTTCAGAGAGGCTAGAAACTTGGGAGATGGAAAAGATGAAACAAGTGATGGTGCTCAAACAAAAATATGTCATAACAAGCCAGCCTGAAATTTGGTAATAAAGAAAATAAGAATCTGTAATTGGCTGACAAATGTGGTGATGTGTTCATGAAACTTGACAGTTATTATTTCTTTCTGAGTAAAATTTGCTCAGTAGTTTTGTAACTCTGGTGAAAGAAAATGCCCCTTTCTTCCTGTAAGGAAAGAGAACATAGAGCGTAGATCCTATTGAGAGAAGAGGTAGAAAAACACTGCTTCCAGGGACTGCAGAAGCACGTTGGTTCCTCCTGTATAGCACTGGAAAAAAGAAATTTTTCATGGAAGTGTCTCTTTCTGGAGTGACAGAAGGACTGAAGCAAATGGACACCTTTGTGCCGGGTGATACATCCCTCTGGGATACTTAGATGTTGGTTCATATGTTTGTTTGACAGCAAATTGAAGTCTGCCAAAGGAAAGGAAGCCTCAAATTCATTATCATTCCTAAGAGAGTTAACGTAAAGTTTCAACCTTTGGCTGTTGCAAGAAATTAACCATTAAAGACTGTATTTTGACATTGTCACTTGGAGTGTGCGATGGCAAATTACAATAATGCAAGTACCATCAGCCACATGAGGAGTCTTTGCCTCAGCTGCTGTGCATCAGTGGATATTAGCAGTAGAACACCCTGATAAAACATGCTGCATTTATACATAACATCTCCAAGGTTGCTGTACATTCATACCATTGATTGAATAATTGCATAACTGAAAGGACACTGTTTTTTTTCAATCTAGATGCCCTCAAATTGTGTTCTGGGAGTTGCAGGAGCCAGCAAGAATTTCTGATGTGCTACACTGTATTTGCTACTCTGTAATAGTCTGCATGGGTGCAATACAACATTTCAGCCTTTGCTGGATGGCTGATGCTCACTTTAAAGCCTTTCCAAGGCTTATGAAAATGAACTGATTCCTACTTCAGTGGTGATAATGTCACTGGGAAGTGCTGTATCCCATCCGTTACTGTGCTGCACACAATCTGACTTCTCACTCCTGCAATAATTCAACTTGTTTAGAGTCAGATGTATGGGCAAAGTGATAGCCTGTCTGCCTGCAGATGGCTGTGTCATGTCTCTAATATATGATGGTTACAAAATCCCTGTGGAGGGAAGCAAACTTTTTTCTACCTCATGCCAGCAGCAGCGTCAGCTGTCCCAACTCATAGTCAGATTCCCAGCTTGTTGGGGCAGCAGAACCAGGTGGACACTGACTTTCAAGAAAACAACGCAGATAGCATTGATTGCAAGATCTTTCCCTTGGTCATTTCAGAAGGTGAGCTTTCAGGGGGTTGATCAGCCTCATTCTATGCCAAAATATCCTAATCTCCTAGCAGTTCATAGCAAAATTATGGCACCCACCATTAAAATTAATACATTTCTGGGAGGAGATCTAATGACTGAGCTTGATAAAATTTCTGTATCCTGTTTTGAGCAACAATCCCAATGGACTTGTAACACAAAACCCCTTCAGGAATTCACAGGACATAACAGGCAACAATTCCATAGACAAAGTCAGTTAATGTGTCTGTGAGAAGTTGGTTTCTCATGGACATCCTGTACATTGCTCTGCCAGTTGCCTGCCTCGGTCTTGTCCACTCTGTCCATGTTCTTGTGTCAGCACTACGTTTCAGCTTAAATACGTCTCTTCTCCCACTCTTGTATTTTTCCCTGCATGTATTTATAGCCAATATTCTGTCATCAGCCTTACAAGGATGTGGCTTCCTGGCCTTACAAGGATTAGCAAGAAAACAACCAGTAACTTCTCTTCCGTGTCTCCGAAAGTTACTAAAGTGATTCAATCTTGAATATGTTGCTGCAGGACGTGGAGGACAGATCTGCCAAGGGGAACGTGCATGCTGGTTGCCATCTCTGTGGAGCACGAAGAGGCTCCTCTTATGGGAGCGGTGCGAGCCATCGTGATGGACTCTCAGTATCTGATAGAGCCGTGTGGCTCAGGAAAAGCCAGGCTGACCCATATCTGCAGAATCGACCTAAAGTAAGTATCCTGTCTGCAAAATGCAGATGTTCATTCAGTGAGGCAAAATCCTCCAGCTCAGAGAGGGGAGGTGTTGGGAACAGATGGCATAGATAACATAGCTTTGCTGTTTTGTAGTCCTCTTGTGGACTTTTCTATCCACCAGGCTCATTTCTATGTTCAGCATATGCCATTGTTGTGATGTGATCATAGAACTAAATCTGGTTGTTTGATAACAGCAAGGAAGCACTGCTTACAGTCACAAGTACTCAGAGTTCCCAACAACACCATGGGTAGCGGAGAGTAGAGGCCATGGCAAGACCCTTCCTGTGGAGTACAGTTCTTGTGCACTTGGGCTTCTCAGTAGCTACATCTTTTTTTGTTTCTGCAGAGGACATTCCCCAGAGTGGTATAACAAAGGCTTTGGACATCTGTGTGCTGCAGAAGTTGCCAGGATCAGAAACTCATTTCAGCCTCTGATTGCTGAAGGACCAGAAACAAAAATCTGAGGAAGTGTTTGTGGAAATGTGTACGTGTAAATCAGGGTATGGCAGAGAACAGGAAGACAGAAAGCAGAGATCTTTTTTAGGTTACAGAAGTCTGACCAGACCCAGGTCTGTACAAAGGTGAATTTTATAGGATAGTTCTTTTATTCTGGAGACTTTGCCTCCCACGTCCCTTCTGCATTAATTTTAATTGCTGAAGTAAAATTTTCTTCAAAGACCTTTTATCTTTATTGTTTTAAAATCATACTATTGCCATGACTTGTGTGTTACATAACTCTGGTATTTAAGGGCTTCTAAGAAGCATATTTTAATTGTAAATAAATTATGTACAGTATGTATATATTTATATTATATCTATCTATATATATGTATATGTATAAATTAATTATTTTGTATATAACTCAGTGCTTTCTAGAAGTCACTTGCATCAGTTGGACCTTAAATGAATCCGTCACTTGTTTCTTAGTGTGTCACTGCTACATAAGCTGTGTTTACTGTTATCACAGGGCTACCAAGCATAACCCATGTGATAACAGAAACGCCTGTTCTCGGGTTTGTTTTGTGTTTGTGTGCTACGAGAAGGTACCTAGAAATAGATGTAGAAGAATTAAGAGAATTAAGGAAGAGGGAAGTGGCTGTAGGTTAAAAAATAATGAGCGGATCCATTTTGACAGATACAGTGCATGGAGTGTAACAGAGACATTTTGAAGGCCATTTATATTCAGCTACAGAAAGTTGTGACTGTCAGCACAAGGAGATGTTGGAAACTTAGCTATTGCCTTAATGGCCTGTCTGTCACTAGAGAACCTCACTATGTCAGTGTTCAGTGTAACTGCTCATTCTTAGCAAGTACAAGATAACACTTTGTGTACTGAGGTATCTGAAATCAGACTGGTGAGTTAATAAGCTGTAAATCTTCTGTTTAGCATTTCATCTAGGCTGCGAGGAAGTATTTCTGTGTTGTTCTTTCCTTCATCCATAGAGGTAGCTCATTATTAAGAAGCTCCAAAGCAGATTTTCTACATCCAATGGACACAAAGATGTACGGATGAACACCATGCCTTTTAGTACTCTTCCTATAAAAATAACTAAACTTTTTGAAGCTTTTAAACACATCTCAGAGATGTAAAAGATTAAATGCAGACTATGCTTGGGAAGACTGCTTTTATAGTAACAGCAAGCAATTTTGTATTATATTGCACTGATCTGCATGGTCCTGCCTCTGTAGGCATTGGTGGGAGCAGGATCAGCCCCTGACTATGAGGAGTAGGAGCCATGTATGCCTGTTATATCGTTTCATTTTCAGGGACCTATTATTTGCTAATGGATGAATGCTTTAAAAGTCGTAATAATTATTTGTTGATGTTACCATTGAGGCAGGGTTCTCTTCTGTTTTTAACTAACCTAAGACCAAAAAATGATATTACATCTATGATTCAGTCAGAATGTACAAGCCTGTTAACATTGTTCATTAATCGCATTTGTTCACCTTGTATTTATTTATTGCTGCATAAACCAGTTGAGACATTCATAGCCAGTGTTTTTACTATCCCTTGTCAGCTGCTGCTCTCTTTGTCTCACCCGTGTTCTGTTGAGCTTATTGGACCTCGGTTGCCTATCAGCTCAAATGTTGAGTTTGTTGCCAACGTTCACAGAACCATAGGATGGTTTGGGTTGGTTTAAGATCATGTAGTTCCAACCCCCCTGCTGTATGCAGGGACACCTTTCTGTAGACCAGGTTGCCCAAAGCCCCATCCTGCCTGGCCTTGAATGCTTGCGGGGAGGGGGGCATCCACAACCTTGCTGGGCAACCTGTTCCAGTGTCTCACCACCCTCACCATAAATAATTTTTTCCTAATATCAAGTTGCAACAATTGTTGCAGCATGCAAATATTGGGAGTTTTCAAGTATTAAGAGATAAGTGAGAGCATGTGTACCCTATGTGCTCGCCATGAGGTCCTTGTTCTCCCCGGCAGGCATGGAAACCACCCACTACTCACATCCAGCCTTTGCCCTGCTGCCATTGGTTGGGACTGCAATCCCAAGGAGCAGCACCTCCTCCCACCAGTGCCTGTAGCCATGGCAGCAGATTTCATACCAGCTGTTTTCCAAAACAGGAGCAATTAAAGTGCTTCTGCTACATTAGTTTGCATAAATGGATACAATTGTGCTGCAGATTCTCTGACACTGGGAACGGCAATTGTCTGACACTAAATTCTGAAAGAACTGAAGGGAAAACCTGGACAGTGGTTTTATCCTATCTGAGAACTCATCACTCTGCTGGAAGGGCTCCTGTGCCACTGCCACCATTAATAAGGTGAGTTAGTCTTCCTACCATTGCAGAAGCTGTCCTATGCTCCCAGCATCTCTAAGCCATGTATCAATGAAATGCATTTTTGTTAAAAGGCACATTATGCCATCTCTACCATTCAGCTACCACAGTACTATTGTTACGTTGCCATTGAGAATACATTATGACGATTATGTTTTGAAATGTTATATTCATATCAATACCTCATATTTTTACCTCATCTGTTGGTATCAGTCATTTAGTTGTAAATAAATCATTGCAGAATTGAATAAATTTGCATACATTAAAGAATGACTTTGTTTGATGTGTTTATTTCATCAGATGGCTCAGGACAAAATATGTAGCCATTGCTTTCTTTACTACAACCAGCTGTGCACTGAGCTTTTCTGATACAGGACCTCAATAACTACTTTGAGCTCAAAATGATATTGTTGTCTACCATGTTTTTTCTGTATCATAAGCATACCAGAACTTCATGACAAAGATGAAAGATATGAGGATAAGATATGGGAAAAGTATTTTCCAAAGAAGCCAAAAAGTTGGAAGGCTGACTTGAGAAAGGTGAACTCAGGTCTCCAACATACTTATGCCCCTGATTCCAATGAATCATGAATTCAGCCATGTTTCTGCACCTACATACTTTGCAATAAGTTGTGTGATCTGTGAGAGTGTCATTGCAGATGGGATGCTGAATGTTGGGTCCACATTCTCAGATGCTGGCTGTCTCAAATCCACCATTGCCAAAGAGAAGAATGGTGCAACAGCAGGATAGTGATTCCTGAGGTTTGTCCTACACATATCTACAGGTGGAATTTACTTCCCTCTGGATGGGCCTCTATCTCTCCAACTGTATTTAATTATCAGAAGGAATCTCAGCAAACTGGATGCTGAATTGGAGTCAGCTATGAGAGATCATCTAGGAGGGAATAAATCTTTATGCCCCACCATTTACAGAAAGCTAAGTATTACAATTTGTACTAAAAGAAAGCACTTTTCTCCAATTCTCTGCCATAGTAAAGGTGAGCAGATGTGTATGTTTATTTTTTCTTGCAAAAAATTTACATGTGATGTGATGTGTTCTCAATTCCTTTCTTACCTCCACTCACCAGAAGTGATGTCAGGACATTATAACTCTTATGACAGAGATTCTTCAGCTCCTGGTATGTGCAGTCTTTATGATGTTGAATTCTTGGGCAGCATCCTCCTTGTAACTTCTTGCAGAAGTCACAACCAACGCATCCTTCTGTCTAATGAACTTGCTTTGCAGAATTAGTGTCAGCCTTGGATGATCTTGGCATGCCTAAGAGATGTTGTTCTTTGGATACTTGTTAGATGAGAGCACAGGCTGGACATACTGAAATGGCTGTAGGATGAAAATGTTGAAACACCTGCGCAAAAGACTGCTGCAGCCTGCAAATCAAGTAGGAGAGGATGAAAAATGATACTGTCAGTAGTGACACAGCAGAGGCAGGGAGTGATGTTGCAAGCAGCACTTGTAGAGCATGGTCCATTCACTCTTTGGGGATTTAGCTTGGCCATGTTGTGCTGTCCTTACGAGATGTGCAATAACCACAGCAGTACACTGGCTTTATTGAGATGAGTGCTTGGCCAGGCTGATCATGTTGCAACCTCACCATGGTGTGCCTGGACCAGGGCATGGGGTTTCAAATCCCATGTTCAGAACAGGCTGTGTGCTTGGACTAAAATGTGCAAATTTAAATTATAAGGCATCTAGTTCCTATGCCCTCAGCATCATGATTGCCCAAAAATGTAACGGATGCCAAAAAAATCCACACATGTCATGCAACACACAGCAACTGTAGGCTGTAGGCTATAGATCTGAGCAATGTCTGGGTCAACAAATAAATGACAGGGAAAATGCCAATAGGCTGACCTTGTGGAAGTTCTCACACACTTCTCTGATACCCTCCCTAATCCATAAAACTACCCAGACACCAGAAATGTTACTATGCCTCTAATGAAGGCTAGCACCTTTTTGCATAAAATGTAACCTACAGGAGCACTGAGTACCAAGCAGTGAGTGATCACAGCCCCACACCAGGGAGGGCACTGCCATCCTGCCAGGGCTTGTATCTGCAAGGGTCCATGCACGACAGCAGATGAAATGAGAAAGCTTTGAGCAAAGACTTGAGCCACGGCATGCAGTTCATTGGCACCAATTTGCAAGGAGACAGAATAGGGTCAACGTCGTGACTGCACTTTACCAGAAAATGTGTTATTCTGGGGCAGTATCTTCTTCTCCAGAAGAAAACCACCCTGCTTGGAAAGAGCAGCTGCATGGAACTTCACTGACATGCCAGCAAAAGGATTGCAGCTTATTTCTTAATCAAAATACTCAATTCTGCAAAAGGGCATTAGGGAAGTTCAACCTAAAACTACAGACTCTGCTCTTTCCTCCTCACCAGCTTGAAACAGCTCAGAGACAGACACATGGCTGAAACACAGAGCCAGCACTTGCTAGCAAAGATTTGCAACCGTTTGCAATGTATGGGTGCAATTGAGCCTCATGGCCATCTGTCCATCCCCAGACTATGCCTGACATGTTCTGCAGGTCCACTGGAACAACTCTTTTTCCTTGAGAGGCCACCTATTGAGTTATACTATTTGTTTCTTTTTCTTTTTCTTTTTTTTTTTTTTTTTTTTTTTTTAGTTAAATTAATGTGGGAACTGCAGACTCCCAACCAGACAGCAGTAATTCTATCAACAGCATCTGCTGGTTGGCAGCACCCTGTATGTGGGACAGAGGTGAGCTGGGTACCTGTGGGCAGCCTGAACCCAAACACCCTGAGCCAAGCAGCAGCCCAAGCCCAGCCAGCTCCAACACTCCTCCACACCCCACCAGCTCCAACTGGACCTAGTGTTCATAGCAGTAAAAGGTCCACAGAGCAGGAGTCCGATAGAGTAGCTGCTCTGACTTGACTTTCTTTTCCCCACACTCCTTCAGTTTTGAGATCTGCCATGAGGGAGCTGCTTTACCCACCCCAGCACCCCTCTGCATCCAGCAATATTGACTGTCACCAACCAACATGAATGAGAAGCCCACCACCCCTGTGAGTGCAAGTCATATTGGCTTCATGGCTGCCCCACTGTCCTACTCAGTGCTGACCTAGAGAGAAATTGACATTTTTTAGCTCTTTAGTTCTGCTTCCCCAGAGAGTCACCTCGGTGCTGAAATGACAAGACGAAATGGCTTTAAGTTGCACCAGCGGAAGTTCAGCTTGGATATTAGGAAAAACTCGTCCAAAAGAGTGGTGAGGCAGTGGATCAGGCTGCCCAGGAAGGTGGTGGAGTCATTGTCCCTGGAGGTGTTCGAGAAGTTTGTAGACTTGGCATTGAGGGACACAGTTTAGTGAGTAATATTGGTTGTAGGTGAACAATTGGACAACATAATCTTAGAGGTCTATTCCAGCCTTGACGATTCGATGACTCTACGATTCTTTCCTCCAAGGAGATGTGTTCATGACATTCTCACAGCACTGTTGGTAATGCCCATGCATAAATCACACCATCAACTCCCTCTCGGGGTGAAGGGATGGAGAAAGAGCCATTTCAGAGTCAGCATTTGGTCATCCAACATCTCTGCTTCTCCCAGGGCTCCTGAACTAGCTCCAGGCTGGACACTGCCCCTTCAGCCATCAACTCACCCCATCATGAGCAAGCCACCACATCCATGTTATTTGCAGACTCTCTCCAAACACCAGACCATACCCCATCTTCAAGTATCACCATGAGTGGGGTTTACTCCCTGGTCACACTGTCTCACAAACTTTTCATCGTGTTGAGCTGCTGGTCTCAGCCTGAGGGATTGCTTCTTGCTGCACTGTTCTCTTGACATTTATGATCCAAGAATATTAGAATGGTTTGCGTTGGAAGGGACCTTTAAGATCATCTAGTTCCAACCCCCCTGCTAGAGGCAGAACACCTCCCACTAGACAAGACTACTCAAAGCCCCATCTGTCCTGGCCTTGAATGTCTCCAAGGTGGGAGCATCCAAAACCTCTCTAGGTATTTGGAGAGCTGCTGGAACACTTGGAGCAACAGCATCTTTCCTAGACTTAGGAATGCAGACTTCAACCTCGTCAGTGAATTGCCTGGCAGGTTGACATGGGATAAAGTCCTGGAGGGAAGAGGGGTCCAAGAAAGTAGGTCAGTATTCAAGGACCATCTTTTTCAAGCAAAAGAAGTAGTGCATCCTAAGAAAGAGGAAAGCAGGCAAGAATGCCAGGAGGCCTCCATTGATCAACAAGGAGTTCCTGGACATAGTTTGATGTGAAAAGGAAGTCCATAGGGAATGAAAGCAGAAATGGGTGACCTGGAAGAACTACAAATAAGTTGTCCAAGCCAAGAATCAGGTTTGGAGGGCTATATCTAATTATATCTAGCCAGATACATAAAGGGAACAA